CATGCATAATATCCTGGCCAAGGTGAACCTCTCTTACTGCCTCCCACGCCAGTCCGTCCACTCCGGGCTGCTCCTGGATGCCGGCAGATGAGCGGCTTGTTTCTGGCCATCCTGTCCGCTTTCTTCCCCGCCGCTCATACGCGACACATTCATGCAGACTTCGAAAACCAAATGACGAGAGTCACTTCAAACGAAATTAATTGAACATGAAAATCACTGATACGCTTTTACGGTATTCACAAAGCACAAATGTTTCTGAGTGGGATTTTTCCAAAAATAAAGGCACCCTTGCTAAGACTTCAACATCTGCGCAGATGGGCACACCTTGGTATCAATAAAGGATGACTTTCCCTTTCAAAATAAGTGACATCTTTGGCCTTGAAAACCTGTTATTGTATTGCCTCTAGGACAGGCTGCCTAAATGAGCTCTGGTAACCATGGTTACCTCCCTGGAGATGCGAGCACACTTGTTTATCTCTGGCCAGCGTGCACGCTCGAGCCACTCTGTCTGCACGCCGAAACAGATGTGTGATCCCTGTTGGAGCCGTTATTGATCCGGTGTCGGAGTCATCTCTGCCGCAGCCTACGAGGGAGGCGGTTTGAAATGTCAGCCTAGATAAAGCCGCATCTGCCCTAATAAACCCCCGGCGATGAAGCCAGAGACGGACGCATTCAGCGGATGCCTGCCGCTCAATTGAACAATGAATAATTGGGCAGACATTATTTGGGAACACCTGAGAGGTTAGGAGCGGCGATCGCCCCTCTAAAAATAACACCCATTTCACGCGCAGCTGTCCCCCAGGATCTAGCAGGCGTGTTCTCTGCAGTCTCCTTCCATATTGTTGGCCTATTTCACCGGCTCTCCGTGCCGCATTCATAATAAGCCCCCTTTATCGCCGTCCCCCGCTACGCCTCAAACTGCCTGGCAACCACCGCGGACCATTAACGCGCGCGCCCTTCCAAAAACAAAGAAAGGAAACCCTTCCGATCAGGGTGTTAATAATGTCTTTCCTCCGTCGGATGCTAAAAAAAATAAATAAAATCATGTGAGGATGATGCAGTTCCCCGTGCCACGGTGTCCCCGCTGACCCGTCTCTGACACCCCCCACTCCAGCTCTGTTTACCACTCCTGCCTCAGATCCCGTCGCATCCGTGTAGCGAGCGATAAATAACTCGGCTCGGGAACCTGCTCTAATATGCATACAAATTGCAAGTTGGGGTGATGTTGAGTGTCTCTCGATGGGGGGTCTATTAGTTATTCTCAGGGCCTGCTCCGAGCTCCCTTCAGCTGCGAATTCCCCCCCCATTCCCCCTGTCCGCTATGCATGGGCCGGAGAGGCTAATTGCGTTGGGCTTGGCGATGCAGATGAGAAACGACTGGCCTGCGATGCAGACCCTAATGAACGCCGGCTGCAGGTGAGAGGCAATCGATAGCTGGCTGGCGCATGCGCGGCATGCGGCTCCCGGCGGCGGCACTCTGAATGCGACGCGATGGATGGCGTGCTCCCCCCTCCCACACGGACTGCCAAGGATGGGGGGAGGAGCCGGGCACTCTGGCAGTCAGAAGCAGCGGCCCTGATGCGATGCAGTCACCAGGCCAGGCTGGAAGGGCAAGCAGAATAAACAAGATGGCTGCTTAAGAAAAAAAGCTGTTTTTTCTTATTCATGGCAGCTAATAAAATGGTTTGTGCGCCGCAGGTTGGTGCCGCATATTTGCCGACGCATCCTGGCAAACTGTAAAATGGAGCGATGCCCGCGTGTGCGTGTGAGAGGGTGCGTGTATGCTGAAGCGGGGGTGGTGAGGTGTCCTTCCACGATGTATCGTGGCACCCTCTGCAAGTGTGTGTGTGGGGGGCATCACAGAACATATCAGTGCGTTTGGACTGCGAGACTGCGACGGGGGCAAGACATACGCACGCGCAACAGCCGTGGCGGTAGGACCAGCTGCTCGAGATTGACTGGCCCCTCCCACCACGAGCCGACCACGGTCACTGCATCCCGTGGCGAGCCTGGGGGGGGCGCCGATAGCTGGGGGAGGTGGCAGGTCATCTCCAATAAGATGCATGCATATGCACATCAGGGAGCATGTGAAACAGTCCATGAGGGGGAGAATCGGGGGGGGGGGGGGTGTTATTGAGGCTGGCCGAAGCATACCTGACACAGGGGCCGGACAATCAGCATTGCTTCAGGGACGAGCGTCTCTGCTTTTGCCCCCTGTCGCCATGCCAAGCTCTCCGCAGCTCACCGGGAGATAACGAGCAGTCGTCTGGCCCCAGAGGCCCTGAAGTTGAACTCCTCTGCTTTTCTTTCCCCCGCACCGCGGTCGGTGTGCTTCCGCTTAGGGGATTCGACATTCCGACGGCATGATTCCGCATCCCGCTTTAACAAGGGGCTCTGAATCTTGCCCAGGGCCGACTCGGATGCTGGCAGATTTCAGGCGCTATGGAAGAGAGACTGGCCCGTGACTGCAGTGCATGTGCTTTCTGGTTTAGCTTCAGCCGGCTATTTACCCCAGCAAATGCCATGCTCAGGTCAATGCCAAAAAGCTGCAGACTGGGGTTGTTTCTGCAGTCCTCATTCCAATTCATAAAACTTCAGTAAAAGGACCTTTAAATCATTTACCTATAAGGGCTGCATTCTTTAAAATATAGCACAAAAATTTAACACCTAAACAAACTGGGGTTTTTAGAGAAAACCTTAAGTGGGAATGAGTTTCGGGTGATTTAACAATAAATCATACATTTTTTTTTTTACGTGACTCGACCTGATGTTTGGACTCATGACCTGCTTTAAGTCCCCGAAGGGCCCCCCTGTACTACCTGTAAGCATGGTACTTTGCCTGAACTGCTTCAGTACAATGAGGAAAACTGTAAGTGCTTTCACATTATACCATCCTCTAATAAAGCAACTGCATACTTTACAATTATAAAGAATTTTAACAATAAATGACATAACCTTGAACAGCTGCCTATTGAAAAATATCCTTAAGAGCAAGAAGGTGAACATAAGCTGCCCAGGCCAGTATTTTTGGGTGCCCGCAAATAAAAGTGATTATGCAATATTCATATCCCCTTTGGAAGTGAGATACAGCAACAGTCACTCTGGACATCAGCCCAGCCACCCCCACTGCTGGTGCTGGAGTTAAAGGTCCACCTTGGGTGCATTGAGGTGGGGCATTCAGCAGTGATGTACTTGGGTGGTTTGGGAGTCAAGAGGATTGGGGGAATCGGATGATAGTTTCAGGTCAGAAGCTACTTACTCTGCAGTTCTGACAGAAAATATGCTTCTCGCCCAATCCAGCATCTTCTGTTTTTTTCCACTTTTATGTAAGACCTACACAATTTTGCTATGTATTTGCAGACAAAGACTATTTTTACGATAAAAGGGAAGTCTGAAGAACAAAAGTTTGGTATGCCATTATTTCCATTGTGTAAGAGGGTCATTTTACTATGAATAAATCACTCCCATGTTCTTAGGAAGACCCCGGCCTATCCCAATACCCTTCTGTAATATCAAACATAAAAAGTTCCACCTACTTTAACAGAATCAATGAATTCTAGTTCTTGATTTTCATCATGACTTATAAATGCATACATTTGAAACCTGATTAAAAGGAAACAAGCACTAAGAAAACTTCACAAACAGTGAATCATACGACTGAAACTAAATGCATACAGAACACAGACGGGGCCAGGAGGTTCAGTCACTGTTTAGCTGAGCATAAGAATGATAGATACATGATCGAATTATTCTGATTTTGTGAGTGTTTGGTGGATTTTGGATCATCATTGCCAGATATGGATTCTCCAGCATCTCAGAAACAGCCACTTTCCTGGGATTTTCACACACTACAGTGTCTAGACTTTACAGGGAATAGTGCAATAACTTAAAAAAAAAAACATCCAGTCAGCAGCCATTCTGTGGGAAAAGTAAACACCTTGTTAATGAGAGAGGTCAGAGGAGCACAGAAAGGATCATTAAAACTAGCAGGAAGGCTGCAAGTGCAAAAACAGCAGCTCACAAAAACAGTGGTGCACAGGAAGGCTACTCTGAATGAACTAGTTGACCCCTGAAGAGGTTCTGGGGCCAACAGTGGGTTCTACCTGGTACTAGCAAGGTGTTCCTAATAAAGTGGCCACTGAGTGCATATTTAGGCTTGGTTTGTTTTCATTTCATAAACCTTAATTATATGAGTTCTGGCTAGTGACTTTGATTTAGTTACTGCTAAAGATGCATTACAGCAACTCAATTCTACGTAAAAATGTGACATTCGGTTTTATTCAAATAATTATTTAATTACTTCAAAGCATGCAGCGCAACATGACTTAACTGCTTCCTGTGTTTGCATTGGCTTAGACCAGTTATCTTTCATGCAGGTTGCTGAAGCTCCAGTAGTCCTGAGATACTTTCCTCCCAACACACAGTCTTAATGCTGGAGAAAGAAGAAACGCTGCGCAAATTACGTCATAAGTAATGGGTGGATTTTGAGGGTGCATTGTGATTGTTGGCTCGGAGTTATTTGGTTGCCTTGGCAGCTGGATTTCACACAGGTCTATGATACAAAGGAAACTACAGCTACAAGCCCCCCCCCCCCGAAGGCAGAACTGCCTTTTTTATATGAAAACACGCTTTTTTGTCAGTATGTGCTCCACAGATTTCTTGACCTTTCCTTGATGGGTTTCGATATGGCTCCCGTTAATGACATATGCAGATTATTTGCCTTATATTGGAGATTAACGTTTAATGAAGAAACCAGATTCATTTAATTGAGAAATTGCAGTAATGTAGGTCTCAGTCTTGAAGAATAATGGTTTGCCATTTACACAGGAAGTGGCTAATATTTGAGGGAGTTGGAGCAGGATCAAAATTTAGGTAATCACACATGCAGGTTCTACTTTATACCATCTTTTTATTTATTTTCATCCTTCCAACCACATATTACTGAATCACCAGTCAGTCTCCACAATATCGGAGAGCACCCATTAAAGAAAAACAGGAACAGTAAAGAACTTTTGGTTTCCCTGGTAACAGCCTGATCATCCCACCTCCTGCATGTAGAAGAATCATGCCAATCTCTCAAAACTTTACTGTATATGCTGCTTGTTATTATATGTGTTTATCAAGGTACATTATTGCTATTAGATACAGGTGTCTGCTACATAAGAACTTGCTCAGGACAAAGTCGGAAGACAAATGACTGAACTTAGTGTAATAAAAAAAAATGCTTTGTCAAACATAAACAAAATGGTTATTTTTTATTTTAAAAAGCTACCCCACATTTTCATATAAGATTCTTAGTCTATAACATACTGGGACAAACATTTACAGCATATATATTGCATTATATTGTGAGTTGAATCTTATAAAGGTTTACAGCAAGGATCCCCTGAAGGGACAGTCTGACAATAATGTGTGTTTGAGCAGGGAAATCTGCAAATTGTGTCACAGACTAGCCCTCCTGGACCGGAACTGGGGAACCCTGGTTTACAGTGGTGGCCATTTTAAACTTGCTGTCCAGGTTTACTATGACATATCATTGACAAGCTATGGGAAAGGAGATTTCCTGCTTGGAGCCTTTCTAATGACACACAACAGCAATGCCTTGCAGAAAAATGTCTATCTGTTAAAACGTTACGGTAACAGAAATACCATCTTTACGGCAGGCAGTAAGCCGTAGTCAACAGGCACCCTCAAAGACACCCTATGCTCTATGGCCATTATGAGTTTATTGCTCTATGATAAGGCTTATTAGTGAGTTCCTCTCTTCCAAAAGTGGGAAGTTATCACACCATGCTTCTTTGTTACAGAAATGTGGCAACACTGCCATCTCTGGCTTTATCTTCATCAGCACATTGCAACTGTTATCTTAGCCCAACAAGGCAAAGCTGAAAACACCGCTTCAAAGTTGGATGCGAGATAGTCACTGTGGATGCAACTTGGTAAAAGTATTACTGAAAAGTGGGCCACGTCAACTTGCAAAGCATAAATTACGAGCGTTACAATGTACCTGAGGTCTGGAGCAACAGAAATGACACAGACTGTCGTACACTGCGGTTCAGCTGCGGCAGTGTTGAGAGGAGAGGTCTCTGCCAAGAGGAAAAAAGGAGTGAACATGAAGGTGAGAGAGAGCAATTATAAAAAAAAGGGAGAGAGAGGAGACAAGAGACAGTGACTGCGTGGCATTACCTAGATAAAGAGAATTCAGGGAGAGAAAGAACAAAACCCCCAGCAAGATGTAAACAACCTAGCCCTTGCGCGCACCGTAAGACTTAATGCATCGCAAGCAATGACCCCATCACTAATGGCCTGACAGGGGACATCCTTACGAAGCCGAGTGTGTCGATTCACCTCCAGATGAAACACAGCAAATACAGGTACTTCAGCAGCGGGATCCAGCACTGAGGGCGGAATAAATTTGTGCCGCGGTAACGTAAGACAGGAGACCCTCAGCCCTATCCGTGATGCTCACCCAAGACATAAAATGACCCATGAGTACGAATCCTTGCCGGAACATCAATATTGTCCTCCATTACAGCGTTTTGCAAGACAAATTGCCCATGAAAGATGGCATAGTTGTGTAAAGAGGTGAATGACTTCAAAAGAGCATCTCTTCATATAGGACCTCTAAAACACCTGCTTCATAAATCTAAGCACTTTAGATGTTTACATGAAATGCAACATGTTTTATAACCATGGCTGCCATTAGGTCTGATTAGTTGAGGCTATAGCCCCAAGTAATTTAAGCTTAGCCCCGAGTATTTTAGCCCCCACGCCAATCTTCCTTCAAAAAATCAAGCCCCAGGTAAACCTGATGTAGCCCCTGATCTTTTCAATAGCTAGAAACTCCCCTGTTCATAACCACATATCCATGTTTTTGTTGGTCTTCCTATTGCACCAAAATATATTCATGTCAACCAATGCTGTATTTTTTTCCCCAAAAACCTGAGTTATATGGCTTTAAAAATAGATTGTACTATTCTTCTCTCAAAGCATAAATACATTCCCCTTCATTTTAATGTGAGTCCACCAAAAGGAATGACAATGCGTGACATGTTCTTTGCAAATGAAACTCCGAGGGTTTCTGTAGACAATGAAGAGAAGATTCACAACACCCCTAAAATGTGTGTGTGTGTGTGTGTGTGTGTGTGTGTGTGTGTGTTTACATAGATTACATTGGGGGACCACTATGTCTCCAAAGTGTAGTAAAACCTGAGACTTCCTTTCTTTCGGGGACATTTTTCAGGTCCCCATTTGGATAACCTCAATTTTATAAAAATCTGTGAATGCAATCCAAAAAGTAAAAATGCCAGAAGTCTTCTTGCCATACATCTTATTGATATAATCTTTCAAATCCATAGTTAAATGCTCAATTATCATGATTCTTGTTAGATTCATTGAAGTCACGGGTGCATATTTCGGTTATCTGATAATTTCATTTTGTTAGTGACATTTTATATTTTTATGTGACATATTTTTACTATACAGCCATGCTAGAAGTGATTTCCCTCTTAATCAAATGCTGCAGTATTTTACTCAAAGAAACTGAGTTGGACATACTCTATTTTATGTTTCTTGAGGTGGAATATAAAACATTGATGACATGTTTCATATTATGCATATTTTGTTTTGTGTCAAGTCAGCCAACAGCTGGTTTTCAGACATCATTAAGTAGTCCAGTTTTTGTGGCAAGCAACCAAACAGTTTAATAATGTGTGTATAATTAGCATACAGTTTTGAACATTTCTCCACATTTTTGATTAATGAAATATGATGTTAGTGTCCCATGTTATGTGTGGCACCTTATGATTGTGCTTTCAGGGCCATAGTCAGGATTTTTAGAATACCGAGGTTAAAAGTGTTAGCCCTTCCTAGGTGTGCTGTATAATGGATCGAGGTTATTGGACTTGCAGAAAAAATATTGAGGACTTGACCTTGGTGTCCTCATGGTAGGTACAGGTATGTATGCATCATAGGCAGAAAGTTTGATAGCTCCCTGCCAGACAGTCCACACCTTTGCTCCATACTTGCAACCAAATAGACAAAATGGGGGGGGGGGGGTGTTATTTTGCTGTTTAACAAGCCATTCAATTTCAATCCATTACTTCACAAATACCGCTTAATAAGCTGACAATATTTGGCATGTGTAGGTTACTGTGGAAATTTTCAAATAAAGGAGTGAAATGATTATAAGTGTATATGACTAACTTTACACACATTATTTTACACTCTTAATAAAATTATTAAAAATTCAGTACAAATCACATATAAAACTGCAACTCATCATTGCAAAGCGTGACCTTTAACCCATATGCACTTAGCTTTACAAAATTGGATTTTCTTTTATTTACTTCGTCTTGATGGGCAGTCAAAGATGGGAGAAGATACTACCCTTTCTGTATGGATGTTATTCACACTCAACACAAGCTTTATCACATAACACATTTTGGCTTCTATAAATAATTTTGCCCTTGGCTGGGCTGGCTATTCAATCCGCACACCTCGTAGGAATAACTAATCCACTGACTCATAATCCATAAAATCCATATGTTAACTGGGTAAATGCACAAAACTCACAAATCCAAATATATTTCATAAATACATGTATAGTGTACAAAATGGAGCTGGAATATAAACACGAATAGTGCCTACAGCATGCCTGAACAGTATAATTGAACTATTTAAGTAAACAAACAGAAAATATTATTTATCGGATTCCCAGTGGCCGTCTCACTGGCGTTTCTGGTTCTATGACGTCATACAAATTCTAGCGTATACCTTTAAAAGTGGGGGAGTTGTTCTGCTGGCTCTCTGGTCCAGTATCCTTCAATTCCTGCCTGTAGGTCTGCATCACACAGAGATTGAAATGTCATGCCCCAGTTCAGACCTTTCAGGTCAGACAGACTGAGCCATCTCGTCTTCTCTCCCTCTGGCTCACTTTGGGAGTGCAAACCAAGCCGCTATAGTTCTCGTAATATTATTAGCGCGATCTGGACTCGTGGTATACATAAGTTATCGTTAACAGACACGGTCTATACAGATTTCATTTAAATTGTTTGCTCGGTTTACCACCTTATATTATTAAGGGAGAGATACATATAACAGTGTGAAGCACGTTCATGATTACTCGCTGCTAATGAGAACACATATATAGGAGGAAATCAATGGCGGGGGCATTCAAAGGCGAGAAAATTAGTCTCCCACCCATCCAGCTGAAGAGTACGCAGGTAAAGGCGGGGAAGCCGAAATGTAAACACGCAGAAGAGAAGCTCGGCGGCGCAATCCGGTGAAAACCTGCCGGGGAGAAGAGCGCTGTCAGCGTCTGCCAGGTAGATGATGGGATCGAGGCTGCCCAGTTACATCCAGTGCATGTTAAATGATCTGGTGCGCAGCGGAACAATCAGATTCCCAGCCCTCCCCATCTCCGTGTCCGCAGGCGCCGGCACTTCATTATTCAGCCTGCACCCTCTGACACGGGGACAAGGTTTAAAAATGGCTGTTCGGGGTACAAGGCAGACCAGCCTATTCGCTCCTTCTGGGTAAAGGTTGTTCATGTTTGACCGCAAACGTCAGTCCCTACACCGGAGCTTGAACGCAGTGTCAGGGTATATAGGGGCAACGACGTACTCAGATTGCTGCAGATGAAACTGAAGATTTCAAAAAGTCCACTGATTTTAAATGTGTATTTAAGATATCTTTCCATATTTATTTTCAGTGTTTTGGATTTTAAATATGCTGTCATGATCTCAATCGTGGCAAATAAGTGTTGTGTTTTTGTCAAATGAATCACAGGGTACAAAGCAGCATCTTTGCTTAGTATTTCTTTATTTACTTCACGCAGGAAAAGTCAGGCAAAGCCAGCTGCATCTATGAAATTTCTGATTTATTATTATTATTTGAATTCCAATAAGGCACTCCTCAGAGCTTGTCCTCAGTATAGCATGTGATGTTTGGGTGACGATAAGCTGTGACAACAACGACTACACTATGAATCACGTATTTTCCCATGCATCACTCTGGTTAACACCTTTAAGGAAAAAAAAAAAAACAGAATTAATATTTCAATCACAAATTTCTCCCCCAGCGTTACCTTTAGTAATCATTAGCACACTGTCGTAATGTGCCAGACAACATATAAACCTGGAATAGAGTCATGTGAAATAAAAACGGATTATGCAAAATGTAAATAATTCTAAAATATTAAAAGGGCAAGATTTATGCACGTATTATTATGAACTAAACATTAGCAGATGTACTGAAGAGTGTGTCTCAGTGTTAATAGGACAGTATATATAAATATATATATCACTTAAGGAATGAAAAACTTTCATTATATACAGTTGTGTTACAAGGAGAACAGAGACATAAATGAGAAAGCATTATGAACATAAGAGGAGGACTTTAACATAAAGCATACACTCTGTTTTGCCCCTGTTTTTTAGAGCGTCGTAGACGAAGTCATGCAGTCTTTCAGAGAACGGAGCTGTTTCCATGGTAACCAGCACTGCTACCAGCAGGGACCCTATGAATTATCACGCCTTGAGAGTTACAGACATCAGCGCAGCCAGACCAGACAGGGCTATGAAGCGCACTCACTCGCAGCAGCACCGTTGGCGACAGCAGCAGACTCCACGGCCAAGGATTGTTATAGCCAGCAAGCATATCCAGGCTATAGCAGCAACCCTGCCCCAGCTGAGAAGCAGTACAAAGGCGGCAAAGTTCCAAGCCGGCAGCTGCAGAGCAGTTACGCCGGCCATCTTGGTAACACATACTCAGGCGTGTACATGGCAGAAAGTCATCTTCAGCAGAAGTGGCCGGCCACATCGCACATGTCCCAGTATGACCAGGATATGCTGGCAAAAATGGAACCAGTAGATGGTGTCAGAAGCACCGGGTCTCAGTATTTGCAGCCAAATGTGCTGCCCGTTTCCCAGAACCGGTGTACTCATGCAGCACAGTCCCGCTCTTCAGTGTACTCCAGCCACCATCAGCAGAAGCTCCCGCAAGACGCCTCTCCATCCCCGGCGAGCTACTCTCACGGCCAGCTGCACTTTCCTCAGCACTCTCAGTCTCTGTCGGCATCCACACCATCGTACGTGGAGAAATGCAACGCCACATCACACTGCTATAAAAGCTATGCCGTGCCCCCGAACTCCCAGTATAGCAGGAACACTGGGAACACAAACAGCCTAAAGCAAAATAGCTACAGAGCACAGAGTAACTATGTCTACCAGCAGGCTTCCTCTAGGTCTGGATATGAACAACAGGCTTCCTTGCAGGGAATGACTAACAGCCAGGAAAGCATTTCAAAATACCAACACTTTACTCAGCCACAACAGAGCTACTGTCTCACTGACCTCTCTGTCAGGTCACCTGAGCATTACTACCAGAATTGTAGCCCCAACTCCAGCCAGTCACCTGCTAGATCTGTGGGGAGGTCTCCAACTTACAGCTCCACACCATCTCCTTTGATGGTTAGTTCTGACTCGTTTCAATATAGCCAGCCCCCCATTGCATCAGGCACCTCTTCCTCCACCAGTTTACGAGACCAAGGTTTACTCATGCCACAGAAATCTCACTCTACATCAAATATTAACCCCAAGACAACCAGCTATGCTTCTTCCCTGAAGGACAGATTCTCTGAGAAGCTATTGTCTAATCCAAGCTTGTGGAGTCTTAATGCCTTGACATCTCAAGTGGAAAATATTTCCAATAATGTCCAACATCTACTGCTGTCTGACTCTCTTGTGATTAATAAAAAAGGCAACAAAAGAAGCAATCCTAAACAAGAGGAGGAATTTAAGGATCATCTTCGCAATCTTGAAGAAGTTTCCTGTACAGCGACTCACAATGCTGAATCTGCCACTGAAGCCTTCGGTACTCCCCAGTCGATCCACGATGAGTTGCAGGAGGATGGATGCTCTTCTGAGGTCCAGATGGAAAGAAACTACTACTACTGCAACCAAAGCAGAGAACCAGTGCAGGCTATTGCTAATTGTAACCTAACCCTGGATGTATCCTCCTGTTCTGTGACTGCACTTGATAACATTTCCAAGATATCAGAGGACAGTGCATCAGGCCTTCAGATTACCCAAGTTAGAGAGAATATTGACACCATCCTGAGGACCATTGGAGAGGAGACATCTCAAAGCAACCTTGTTCACAGCCCACTAAATCCAGAGCCAAATTCCCAAGAAGACATCAATAAAATAAAGGAGTCACTAAAAGAAGACTTTGAAGAGACATCCTTGCTGGAAAAGCCAAGTGAACAGAAAGTGAATGAGAATCTTAATAATACTATGGCCAGTGCCTGCAACGACCAGAATAAAGACACTAAAAGTAAGCAAGAAGAATGGTTAAAGGATGAAGAATATCCCACTGAGTTTCCTAAAACAAGTCAAGTATTGACAGGAAAAACATATCCCAGTGATATTGAAGAACAAATAGACTATGAGATGGAACAAGGGTGTATTACAGAGGAGGATAATACTGCAAAGTCCTGTGCAGTATCACGTGCAAGCAGTAATAGGAGCTCTGATTCTCATTCCGATAAGAAAAGCATGCCATTGGCGTGGAAAGACGAGACTGTAGCCTTAAAAGACAATACTTCTAAGTCTCCGCATTTTAACACCATGAGTGAGCTTTTGGAAGAAGGTTTTTCAATACTCACAAAAGAAAAAACACTTGAGGAGCAGGAGTCTATTCGTCCCAGTGAAACCAGTGTAGTTAAAGAGCAAAAGGAGAGTTTACCATACTCTGAGGAGAGCATCAATAATAAAACATGGTTGCAACCTGAAGAGCTGTGCAGCCCCACTGAGGAGCAAAGAGACAAGTCTCAAGTTAGTAAAGAAGCAGATGAGCAAGACATGCCTTTCACAAACTCAGAAAGAAGCTCAGTCTCACGTGACATTGCACCTCTGACACATTGTGTGAAGGCAGGCTTCTCGGTGTTTAATGAAGAAGCATCACTCCTCCCCCAAGCAAGGGACCACATTGATCGACGAGATGCTGTGGAACTGGAGCCTGACTCTCCTCAGCTGCCAGGAAAGTCAATAATACACTCAGCACCTTCCTGGGCTGACACCCCACCTTCCCCAAAGAAAGGTGATGAAGAGGTTGATCCTGAGATGAGCTGTGTGAGTGCAGTGACATCATCAACCGAGTCAGAGCCAATGGCCCCATCTGCAAATCTTACAGCATTCAGCAGACGGCATGTGCGAGGAAGGCGACGCCAATCTCGAATACTAATTCATGCAAGTACTGTAGTCACAAGACTTTCAAATATGGATGAAAAGGAAGTTCCAGAATCTCCTCAGGAAATCAATATGGCACCCACTAAAACAACAGTTTTAGCAGAACAAAGACGGGCTGTTCACAAAGACCTCTTCTCCCAGACATGCAATATTTCAGCAGAGAACTTCCCTTCCAGGATGTGCACTCGTTCTTTCACTGCAATGGCTGCATCGAGTTCATGCCCCCATTTGAAAAAACGTGGCCCAAAGCCATATCAGCAATTTGACGGCGAGGACTCTGTAGGTCATACCAAGGGCTTGATAACTAAAACTGACTGGAAAAAGCTGCGAGACCACAAAACTGCAATCACAAGTAGGAAAGGTTTGAGTGAGATCATGAACCAAGATGAAAACCAGGAAACCGGTTTGAGTTTAACGTCAGTTGTTAAAGACCAAAAATCTATGGTACTGAGATCCAGAAAACAAGCGCAGGAGAACCCAGTGAAAGAAAAAGGAATGGAGAAGAAGACCATGTGCATTCTACCTAAAACAATTAAAGAAATGAAGAAGCAGGAGACGACGTTGCTGAAAGAACAGTGCTGCGACAGCCCCAAACAAACCCTTGCTTCTGTACACCGGAAAAATGTCTACAGATCATTGATTAGCAAACCAAATGAGAAGAGTGAGTCTGCCACTAAAAGGAAATCCAACTGCCAGTCTATGGTTCCTATAAAAAGACAGAGGATGATAAAAGGAATCAAGTTTGACAAACTTCCTTTAAAAACCAACCTATCGGTGGTTAAGAGTCCCAAAAAGAGGTTAAAGCGAGACGAGATTTTTACATTACCTCTGAACAGTTTTCTTACGAAAGATCCCTCCCCTGTTAATGTTAACGATATTTCTTTGCCTGTCCAGTACCCGGTCAAAACAAAGTATCTGCCCCCAAGGAAAGGCAGAGGGCTAAAATATGAAGCCATGGTTCAGAAAATGACATCACTCGGCACAAAAAAGCATAGCCTAAACACTCATTTTGACAACATAGTTGAGAATTTGCCAAAAAAGATCATAGAGGATGTTTTGGAACAAGTAAAGCCAGCAGAGGACAAAGAGTTGGTGCACAAGGATGGCGAACTTGCAAAGAGCACCATGGTGTTGGAAAACACAACATGCCTGAAAGATTCTGACGCTATAAAGGAAGAAGGATCCCAGGAGAGCAGCAAGCAGCCTGACTTGGCCTTGGAAACACAGACCGCCTTCATCAGTACACAGAGAATAGCCAAGCAAAGGGCCATCAAGAACAATCATGAAATGCATCTGAAGCAGAGAAGAAGCAGAAGGAAGAGCCACGCTTCCCAGGTGAGCAGCACAGCCACAAAGCAGGAACCGCTGCCCATAGCACCCTCAGAGGACAGGGAGAAACAGCTGGGAAGCTCTCAGGCTTCTCCCAACTTTGTACCGGGCAAACATGGGTTTCACTCCCAGAGGAAGGCACGAGTTACGGCATTGGATAAGCAAGGCAGTGTGGCACATAAAGCAGTATCCAAAAGGACAACTGACAAGTACTTTAATCACGGCAAGGTTGCAAAGAATGGCCGCAGATTTAAGGCTACACACAGAAAGCAGGATACTTTATTAGCGATGGAAGAGCAACTAGAGTACACTATAAACTATTTATTGTGCAAACTCCCCAAAAACGAGACCCTGCCTTTATTCAGGCCGTATGTGCATGTTGACAAAATGGCACATTTTGCCTCTGTATGTACCGTCATCAACGGGCCTGAGGAGGAACATCTGCTCTTTCAGGCCAGGAGAAAGAAAATCCAGGACGCAGCTACAGTTTCCAAGGCAATACCGGACTCTTCAGTCATGCTGCAGGGTCCCTTGGTGAACAAAAACCTGATTGACCGCAGTCTCACTTGCTGCCTTTGTGGAAAACCGACAAATTACAAGGAGCTCGGGGACTTGTGTGGGCCGTATTACCCCGAGGACAGCATACCAAGGAAGACCCTGTCTTTTAAATACAGACAGCTGTCCAGAGAGGATAAAGTGATAATGAACTGCAATGTGGGGCACACAGGAGCTCTAAAGAGGGAGGGCGGTAGGAGTCTAGCGGGGCGGAGCAGTTGTGAAGGCAACGCAGGACAACTGAGAGGTGCGGAGAGAGCTTCTGTTGAGGGCGTTGCGCGGCCAAAATTCTTGGAGAGGTACAAAAGGCTGCAGCAGCTTCAGGGTTCTGAGAGAAGGGCTGGGGAGGACGGGACTCGTCCCTTAAGACTGCATGAAAGCGGCAGAACTGCGCTGCAGGGAGCCGAACTGGAAGCAGAGTCCAGGGAGCACTGGCTCCATGAGGCCTGTGCTGTTTGGACCGGCGGGGTTTTCCTGGTGTCTGGAAAACTTTACGGCGTGAAGGAGGCTGCACGTGCCACAGCTGCGACGGTGAGTCGGTCTGCACGACACCTCCGGTACGTAGCTGACACTGAGGAGTATTCAGATGGGAGGCATTAGGAGGCTTCCTGAATGAACTCCACACAATGTGATCCATGCAGGCTGAAAACTACAAGGCTTTGAATTTTATATTAACAGGTGAAATGTATTTGGGTTAGTTTTAATCCCACAGCTGGTTTAGCTTCTAAATCACTCCTATAATAACCTTTTTTTTATTGACAGTTTTTAATCCTGTTTTCCTCCTTGTGCAGAGCTGTTCAGTGTGCCAAGATATGGGTGCGTCAATCAGATGCTCCTATGAAGGCTGTCCTCAGAACTTCCACTATTTCTGTGCCAAAGAGATTGGTAGGAGTTCTGTATGTGCCCGTACCCATTTAAGTTATCAGTGCTTGCAGTCATCCCTTGCTCTGGTTAATTAAAACACTGAGGAAGCATATGTAGAACACAGGCTCCACTACTGACAGATTAAGGATTATGAACCGCACTTGCTATGCAGACTGCCATATGGATCTCACTAGACGAAAGACACTTAACCTCATTCGGGATAATGTGCAAAATGGTACAATGTGTTAAGTTTCTTTGGATAAAACTCTCTTCTCATCATCAGAATAATCATCAAAGCCTCGACTTGACATCAAGGAGAATGTAGAGTAGCGTTGATGATCCTGTCTTCCATCCTTACTCTCTCCAGCTGATTTAACCCTCTTATCATTACAGGTTGCTGGCTGGAAGAAGAAAGCTTGTCTTTGAGATGTACAAACCACCAGGTAAATGACTTTTGTCATGTATGCACAAATCTCACCCACCCGCTACAGTTTTTTTCCCAGTTTGACACGCTTTTGTAGTTTAACACTGAAGTGCAATTATTGTTGTTTCTTTATTCCAACAAACACTGCATTGTGAACAATTAGACATTCAGTACTTGTTTAAGTAAACACCTAGTTACAGATGACCTGACTCTCATCCAGTGCCTCTTACCCTAGCCATGGCAATCCACCAACATTCTGCCCAGGGCTCCAGTTTGACATATTTTGAGAAACCCTTCCCCCCCTCCAATCATAATGCCACCAAAAAGTGACCCATCAGAAGGAAGTCACATAGCTGTGGAGTAATCTGTATCAGCTTTCTTGGGTCATCCGCCCCGTCTTGGACAGGTAGAGGCGCGGAAGACAAAAAGGGCGGAAGTTCAGAACCAGTGTAACCAGTGTAGAGGCTCGGCTTTCAGGGCGACCAGCAGCCAGCTGTGTGTGAAGCACCACGTCGTATTCTCCACAGACTGACAGCGAGGAGGACTTGGCTGCTGATCAATACAGCCTCCCTCTACTGCCTCCCACGTAATGAGATCTCAGAGCAGGCAGAGCGCACATCAAAGTGATTCACTAACTCTGGGATCTGAAGGCTGCTCTCTGCGATGCCACTCCGCCGCCTTAATAAAACGGGTAGTACCCCCATCTAGGGCTCCGCGGAGATAATGCAGGGAACCAGAGGGAACCAGAAGGATGCAGTCTTTCCTCTCTTGTGAGTTTACTTATTTATGGGGAGAGTGAACGCTGTGCGACCTGCTTGTGTTACTTTAGGCTGGTGGTCTTAAATTAACCTTGATTCCTTCATGTCTGTGAGGGCAAGAAGGAGAAAAAGAGAAAGCTGTGGATGAAACCCCAGGGTAGAGTCTTAGACTTGGCTGCATGGTGGAAAAAGGGCAGAACATCATTCATATTTCTCATCTTGCACAGTGACCCGGGCTCACGAGGCAGTCGACTTAAAGCAGCCGCAGTGCTCCTGTATTGATTTGCACGGCGAGCAGGAACAGCGAGGATGGGCTCTGCACGCGCTGCTCTTTAACGCTCCGCACGCCCCCACCCCCCCCCCTCGCTTCCGTGTCACAGACCCTGAAGGGCGTGCCGTTAACTGGCCTGCTTCTCCGTGCTGGCTGGGGTCGGCCTGAGTGTTCGCCGTCAGCAGCTCCTCACCCAAATACATCTGGGTCGCTCTCTTCCCAGAGTCTCTGAGAAATGGCAGTGGGATTTAGGAGGATCTCCTGAGCGGGGCATCGAGAGGACACACGCCCAGACGGGCCGGGATGGATTACAGGGTGGCGCTGAACGCCGGGATACCAGCTCCTGCAGCAGAGCGGCACAAACAGCAGCCCTGGCTGAAGCCAGCTGCACACTAATGTCCGCAGAGGAAAGTCACTGCTAGCCTCTTCTTTCCTGGCGTCCTTTAAGGGTGAAAACTTTCGGCACTCATGCACTCCGCCGCATTTAATTTCAACAGAACGTGGGTGACTTTCCTTCAGAGGATATCAACGAAAAAAAAAAAACTCAGCTGAAGTCATTTTGCATTATCATATGTTCCGATACTTCCAAGTCGAAATCTACCGCTTTTTATCCATGTTTCTCAAATGGTTTGGTTTTCTTTCTGTACTAAGCAATCCTTGCTCGAGCATCCCACTGTTAAAAAATAACATCAAATTTTAAATACTTAAATATCTAAAAACATTCATACTCAAGTTGTGTCGTAACTGTGAGCAAGGTGGATTGATGGATGTATTTATACAACTTCTTCCTATATATATATATTTTTAATGTGCTTTCAGAAATCTGTAATAAAATAAATGGTCACATGGCAATCAAGTTTTATATGACCATAGTATTGATCTTTTCCAGCCAGTTCACCTAAGTATTCATCTCTCTGCTCCCAGTGTCTCAAAGATTGTACTCATAATTTAGCTCAAGGAATGAAGTACAGAATTTTGCACAGTTCTTAGCTACTCTGCACCGCATAAAGTTCAAATGAATATCGTACAATTTTTGCTCAGTCGAATATCAGTGTTGTTTTTCTTCCTTGCTCAGACCTCACATTTTACTATGTAGGTGGAAAAAACTTGCCTGTTAACCTTAAAATATTACAAAATTTCAGTAAAAACAGAAGAATACTCAACTTTCATCATAAGCGACCAGTAATTTGTACTTCATCTCAATTATTTAATGTTGTATATAATTATTTTATGCTGGTTTCTTTTAAAATGTGATGTACTTAAATACTTGTTTATAGTATTTATTAGAGATATTTATTTTCTATAAAATTAATGTCATTGCTTATAAAATATTAAAATAATGAATTAAAGTGACTTTTTGAATGTTTGAAATGCGTTTGCACGCTGTTATTTCAGGCAAACATTTCCTTTTTTCATATTCAATATTCATTCATGGCCAGAGTTCTGTAAAAAAAAAAAGATAACACAATAATTATGTACAAATGTTCTCTTTTTACTGAGTTATTTCCATGTAATCCTAAATTAATGGTTTGTTCTCAAAACAACAACTTCATCCAGCAAACAGATTTGTTTCTACATGTTACAAAACAGTATTTCTATTCATATCTACATCGTAAAAATATCAAAGAAGCCAACTGGATAAAATATATTTTTTCTCAGTAACCATAAAAATTTCATTTCGTAATTTATTTGTTGTTTGCAATTTCACATAGCAGTTGTACTTCTGTTTTTCAAGAGTATTACACCTTTATACAGTATGAACAATTTCCAGTTCTTCCTCAATATTCTTTAATTCCCTCTATAAAAAATTACTGTAATTTCCTGTTAAATCATTGGCAGGAACTTTCTTATAAAACTATGCACCACTAAGTAAAATCTGAGTTATTAACATGGCGAAAATCCATACTATACAAGAAAAAATGCAGATTTGTACAGCTGTGCTTTGGGCACAATACTATGTAACGTAAACTCCTGATATTATGTTTTAATATTGTAGCAGTAACAGAAGTGCGAGATTTTGGTAATACTTAACCTTCCAATAATTGCAACAATTTTTCAAGAAAAACAGCTGTATTGCACAGATAAACACTTAGAATATATAGCCTCTATTTTTATTTATTAATTGCTGGAAATCACCTAGCTAACACTCCTTTTGTACAGATAGGGAAATTAAATACATCAGGCTCTATCTTGCACAAAAATGAAATCTCTTCAAGTGAAAGCTTTATAAAATTAAAAGCAACCGATATGAACTCATTTCATTTTAGAGAGATAGCACCCATGACAGGTGAATGTGGGACTAAACAGGTTTCACTAACAGTGATCCAAACCTCTTAAGTCAAATCCCCAGTTCTACGTGTTTCCAGACTGCAAACATAAATCACTATTTTCAAATGTGCATCAGGCTGATACACAGATTATCCCCTGCAGCAAAAACACAGGATAAGGTGAAATCCCCCCCCCCCCCTCTTCTTGACTACAAGCTTCCATGCACCACACAGTGGCAAAATGCTGTCACTGCAATGGGTTTATCAAAAATGGCAAATGAGTCGTAAGAAAAAATAAGATTGGATCTTTTTAATGGTAGTTCATTTAAGTCACACGTTGTGTTTTTTTTAATTCCCATTATCCTTAGGATCACATTTAATAATTCATTTCAGGACAATGTACATTACATTTAAAATGGCATTCTTGTTCCATTCTTTAAATTTATATCATTTACACAATTATAAATATATGTGTTTAGTGGCAGCTACATAAAATGAGAGGTGGGCTGGGAAACCCCCCCGGGAGTCGGCTTGGGTGTGACGGTTCAGGTTCAGCATGGGCTACGTGGGGGTGACAGGGGACAGCAAGCAGGAGGGCAGGTAGTGGCACAGCAGTGTCACGGCCTTGGCCCACTGTCGGGGGGCCTGGCCTCGCTCGACTCTCCTCTGCAGATACACCAACGGAGTCACGGGGAGGGAGGAACGCAGCAGAGACGCAAGGGAGCAGCAGCGTAAATGGAGTAAAGCTTCATAAGCGTGAGTATGGCATGAAGTATGAATCGAGAGGAGCCAAGCAGCAAGGATACCACAGGACGAGAGTAATGCAAAGGATGATAAACGTAAATACTGCACTAATCATAGCAGTGTTACTCAAACCAGTCCCTGGGGAGCGGCAGACGGTCCACGTTTCTGTCCTCTCCCAGCACAACTGAACCAAAGCAATCAAGCAATCAAGGACGCAGAATACCTGCTACAGGTCACGCACGCAGGCGTAGTAAAATAACGAGTTTGAAGCCCGAATGTTCTTTGTTACTGATCGGACATGCATCCAGTTAGTAAATTTGAAATTTATCAGACCCCCCCCCATGAAATTTATTTCTGGGTATGGACCTGGTACAGGTGTGCTGGGAGCTGGGAGGGAGTAAGAATGTGGCCTGTCTGGGGGGCGGGGGGGGGGGGGGGTCCCCGAGGACTGGCTTGAGAAACACTTAATTAGGGAATAGTATGAATACACCATTAATTATGAAAGGCAGAATGAAACAGTGTTATTCAAATGAGGAATACAGTATTAAATAGTATTTATAATAAACAATACAATATTATACATCATAAAGTTTGAGTAACTACCAAAACATAGGAAACATTTCAGCAAATGAGGGATATGAAAGACAGTGACCCCCCCACGCAGGTGTGGCTAATGAAGCAACTGGCATGATGTCGTTTTTGGGTCATTTATTAAAATTCTAGGCAGGCCCAGTTGTGGGAATGGGATCTTGTAGGATGAGAATACCCCCGAAAATCCATGCTGGCTGTCCTGTCACCAGATCTCAAGGTTCACCTGAAAATACAAGACATTCGCAAGGGATCCCCGAGATACACCAAAAGATGGCACTTCGTGTGGAAAAACAGTGTTGCATCCTAATATAACACTTCCTGTCGGCATCGCCCTGGTCTCGGGAGATTTCTGTATGAGACTGACAAACGGGCGGGAGCTGGCAAGGCGCCGGGTCACCTGACGTGCTGGCTGACGTGGTGCGGCGCCGCAGGCAGAGGCCCAGGACCTGCTGGCCGCGTGCGGGACTGGATCCCGCCATCAGCCTGGCTGTGCCCTCGTGCAGGAATAGCTGCAGGTAGATCAGGCTGCTGGATCAGCAGGCCGCTGCCCCTAACTAAGCCGCTAGAGGACGTGTCCTTCCTCCCCCTCTTTTTTTTGTTGTGGGCACCCTACCAATATCACGCTTTTATGGCTTTATGTTACCGTCCAGACGTGCCCACAAATGCCCGCCCCCCATATTTCATTCCCTCCACGTCGTACAAACAGTCAATGTAATGTGCACTCAAGGAATTAGGTTAAACTTTGATGGCCGCATGCAATATTTAAGGCGTGGCTCAGTTTACGGTTCAGCCGCCTCATGCCGTGCACATCCCCCCCGCATCTGGTGCCCTCACCCTGTGCGTGCCCGGCCTAAAGCTCTGCACCAGCTTCCTCAGGGAGCTCAGGTCCTGCTGAAAGCCGTGAAGCTGCTGAGCAGGGGCCGGGAGGAGACCACCTTGCTGACGGTGCCACACGGTGGAACGCGTGACCAGGAGGAGGTCGCACAGCAGCACCTGCAGTAGCTGGACAGCAGGGGGTGCCGTGGTTAAGGAACTGGGGATCATTCAAAATGTTGCCAGGAGAATCCTCAGCAAAGTCGCTGTTGCTGGGTAACAGAACAAATGAAGTACTCCAAAGTAAACCCCAGACATACTCCCACAGGTTGTCTCCCCTGCACTCACTTTAATTAAGTTTCAGTTTGTTTACTTTATACTTTTAATGCACCACTTAGCACATATGTGTTGCAGCCAGTCAGCCTTCGCTGCAGAGTAATCTAAAATATGTCGCATTCATACCAGCGCGACACACCATAATTAATCACTGCGGCAGCATACGTGTACCGTAGACATGGCTAAAATGAATAAAGGGAAGGCAGGTGATCCAGCCTGTTTGAGTAAAGATGGTGATTACCCTGAATGCTGTCAGCACTGCAGAGTATAAAGCCTTAAGGAATTACACAACAAACATAACCGTGCGTACGTGGGTCTATCTGCACTTAGCACAATCCGGATCATCCCAGAACAGGTCTGAAGCAACCATGTGGGTCAACGCACTACTTTATGCTGTTAAGTAGGGCAGCACATTGTGGCTGGTCCAGAACGTGGAATGATACACGACTTTGCATTGCTCCCCTTGGGGACAGATGTGACACCTAAGGCAGCAGGACGCGCGGCCAAGGTGGCGTACGGCCGAACGGAGCGAGACGCCCAGTCTACCCAACAGAACGTTCAACAGGACTAAAACGATCTGTAAAAAGGGGCAGAATGCAAGATGACTCGTTCATATAGAATATCTTTCAAATATTGTATCTGAAAATATAAAAATATGAATGCAGTTATAATGTATTTATTCTGAGTACATGAAGCTTTTTAAGCTCTGTGCTTATATAGAGTGATACAAGCAATAGACAAGATTCACATCTGTCAGGGACAGTGACCCGTGGTGAACTTCATGCAACCACAGCGAGGTCGCAGTCCGGGCACGATGGCACGGCGTGACCCGGCTCTGCGTTGCACTGAAGCAGCATTGCATAACAGCGCACACACATGCAATGCAACCACAATGCACCACAGCACCGTTCAAGGGGTCCAGGGTGCTACAACCGAAAACGGGGCAGGAGGGTGAAAGGAAGGGCACCTTGTCGATGACCCCGGCACAGCTGGGGGGGTCCCGGCTCAGGCTGTCCTTCAGGAGGCCGCTGGCCCTCTCACTGTAGCCCAGGCTCAGCTGCCAGTTCTCCCTTTGACCCTGGATGGCCTGTATCGCCCTGAATGTGTAGTGGGCGGCTCTGGGCAAGGGGTTCCTGACAGGACAGAATCGGCGTCAGTATTCAGCAGCAGGCGTACGAGAGTGTAACTGGCATTTATAAGGGAAGGTGAGTGGTGTGAGTTCCATCTGTGTGCTTCTGTCGCCAAAACCCGATGCAGATTAATCCAAGGCTATTCTAGGCCACAGCCAAAGGCCCTGACAAACATCAGGGGCCCCAACCAGCAAAATCAGGGGCCCCACCCCACCTTGGGAAAAATTTATTAAACTCAGCCAACTGATCTGCTAGTCCCCACAAGGATAACCTAAATTTAATAAACAATTTGTGAATGGAATCAAAAAACTAAAAATGCCAAATGGCTTGTATTTTATTTGGTTACTTATGGTTAAGGTTAGGGCTGGGTAGGGCTTAAGGTTGTCATAGTTAGCATTAGAATTTATCCTATAAAAATGATTGAGTGTGTGTGTGTGTGTGTGCGCGTGCTTGTGTGAGTGTGTGAGAGCAGTGCGTTGCTCACTCTTGTGCCCGCAGGCTCACAGGCAAGTCCTCCACAGCTGCACAGAGTCTCTCCGCAGCATCTTTGTCTCCTTGGAGCCAACTGATCATGACCACCATCGTAGAGGCCCACCATTTGGAGTGGATGTCGCATCCTGTGACATCAGCACAGACGTGGACGCGTGAGAATGGGCCGGCTTTGCCTCTTAATGCAGCCATGGGGACTGAACGGAGCTCCTACTGGAGCACGGGGATCTCTGAGGTCTTTTACCAACCAGTGACTGCTGCCAGGCCGGACCCCGGGGCCACAGACTGCGTGGAGGCCTCAGCGTCCGAGAAGCTGATGAGCAGCTGGAGGTACTCAAGAGCCTGGCAATACTCCCTGTGAGTAATAATACTCCCTGTGAGTAATAATAATAACAATAATGTACTGATGTATAGTATATACTGGAAATATATACAGTATACCGCTCTGGAAAAATTTAAGAGACCACAGCTAAATTTTTAGGTTCACTCATTTCTCAAGTTATAGCTATGCACATGTGTAAAATATATATATTTTTTGCAAACTCCAGCATGGCTCTTCCTGCTTCTCATTAATTAAGGGCTTCTTGCTTTATGGGTCATCAGTCCTGCTTCTAGGAGTCTGTTATGAATTGTCTTAGCAGTACACCTCATACTGCTTAATGTTTCCCTTTTTTTTTTTGAAGGTCACTTGATGTCATCCTCTGATTCATGAGGCCCTGTTGGATAAGTTGACCGTCATCTCTGGCATTAAAAAATCACTTCTGCTTTTAACCTGGCTTATTTCTGGTCATTCCCAGTGTTTCCTGCTTCACCTTTTTCTTGTGTATTGTGTATTTCTTGTGTGTGCCTGGAAGCAACCTGCCACTCAGCCAGCATGTAGCCTTCAGCCAGCAAAACCAGGATTAAACCAGGATTAAACCAGGATCTGACAATGCAGATTTACAAAAATGTAACGTGGTCTCTTCATTTTTTTCAGGGTTGTATACACATATATAGCATATTTACAGTATCCAGTATTATATACAGCATCCAGTATTCTGGCGGTTTTATATTATAACAGTGCACATGCTCATTCCCACTTTAGTTACATTTAGTTACATCGTGTTATCCTTTTTGTCTTGATACTTGCATTCTTTATTATATATTTCAGCTCTGTTGTTTTAGTCGTGCACAGTCAGGGCTATGCCATGGCACAGTAGTGAGTTATATTATCTCGTGTCATCATACCTTGAACGTTTTAGCTATTTCAGGTGCTTAGCCTGTATCCAAGCATAACTTAGACAGCGATATCCACTCACACAGCTCTAGCCCTGAATTCCCAGGGCATAAGCACACCCTGGTCCTAAGGAGCTAAATACGCTGCCAGCTGCCCACAGTACACATGTAAACGAGAGCTTCGTAAATGAGACGGTCAGGGTACTGAGAGCAGCCAAGGTCTCAGAAGGGTGACATCAGCACAGTGCAGCCGTGAAGGATCTTTACGGCTTCTGATTAATAGGCAGCTGGTCTGCCGTTATTTGCTAGCACAGCGGTGACTCGGAGTCCCACCCCTCTCCCTCCACGAGGGTCTTCTCCTTCGGTGAGGAGAGCACACACAGCAGGGCCTTCTCCAGAAGGTGCTCCCGGAACGCCTGTGTCACCTGGGCCAGGGGCTCCACTGCAGAGAGCACAGCAGCACAGGGTAAGCTGGGGTTCAGGGCTGAAATCCAGTACAGCCACTCCCAAACATTCTCTCTGTTACCAAGTTTATGTTATTAATTTGCAATTATCAATTCGTAATTATATATTATTGATTTATAATTAAGATTTTCTAATTGTATCTTAGTAGTTTGTAATTATTAGTTATTATTGCATAATTTATCATTCCTAATTATATGCTATGCAAAGGCAAATAGGCATATATTATTACTGATCTGGCACTGAACTGCATAAATTACAAATCTGGAAGCTGATTAACTGATTATCTTTCTGTGTAGCACTGTGTGCACAATCACTGAGCAGTTTGTGTAGAGGTATGTCAGAGAGGAGGATGCAGCTGTTGGACCTCTGCTCCTGGCCTGGCTGTAGACACTGTCCCTTGGAGAGCCGTGCACAGTCCATTGCCCGTCCATGAAGAAGCGGTGACCCAGGGGGTGAGTGAGCCAGCGCATGGCTGGGGGGGTACCAGAGCCAGGGGCGAGGCAGACGCGACGCGCGCTGCTCAGGAATACCCACTGCATGGGGGAGGGGGGCAGGTCACGTGACATGTACTTGGTACGTGGGCCATATGTAGCTCTGACACTGCACATTAGCAGGCCACACAAATGGAAGCAAACCTCAGCAAAGCCGTCAGATTACTGTCAACTTTAAAGGTGGTGCTTATTAAATAATGACGCGGCTATTTATAAAATGCCGTGTTGATTCAAATACATTGCGTTGCGCGTCACCTCACTAGATGCTAATTAACTGCCAGCCACGCTAACACCATGTGACCTGCAGTCAGGACAAGAGCTTTAACTGAGCAGTGGCCTTTAAGAGCCTCTGGCTGCAGGCTGAGCGAGCACACGGCGGGGGGGGGGGGGGCCACACAGAGCCCGCACTCACGGCGGCGAAGCGCAGCCCCCGCGGCAGGCTGGCCTTGACTCCCAGCGCGGCGCAGACGTGGATCCGGGCCAGCGTGGCCACAGTCAGCCTGTCCCCCGAGCACTCGGCCAGGTTCACCGCGCTCAGGGCTGCGTGCAGGCCAGAGAGGCTGCCACCTCCCAGCTTTCCTAGAGGGCCAGACGAGCAGTTACACAAAAGGTGTGGCAGGGACAGGCTGTTTACACAGAGGGGATTCACATTCAGCTACACTAACAAGCTAATAAAGCTTCATTTTATACTATGTGTTTTAGACACTGAGCAATCAAGAAAGGGAACTTCAAGCAGTGTAAAAATTCATTGCTTATTGCATTCTATTTATTTGCCAGATGCTTTTATCCAAAGTAATGTAGATTTTTTTTTCTGGGCAAGATTAGACATTCTCCAGAGAACTGGGGGAAGTTAAGGGCCTTTGCTCACAGACACAACGGTGAAATCACTCTGCCGACCCTGGGATTGGAACTAGCGACTTCCTGACCACAGCATCCTAACATACTGCGGCACACTGTACACTGCACTGTAGCTACTTGTGTTTGCCAGTGCCGATTAGCAGAGACCCTCCATACCCATCACGTGCAGCTGGTGCAGCCGGTGGTAAACTAGCGTAGCGTTGGCGCAGCTGGCACGACCATCGCTCTGTGAGGGGGGGTCCGGCCAAAGGCTGCCCGCCTTCCCCGCCAACCAGCGGCCCACCCACAGCCACTGCAGGCCCAGCCTCAGTCCCGCCCAGAGGACGCCACACAGCAGGTCCAGCTGAGACACAGGCAGGGGACGCCCCAGAACCTCCAGACAAGTCTGAAAGTTTTGTGAGGCCCGGGCGAAGTCTCCCTGCGGAGGACGGACGGCGAAAATGGGAAATAAAACCCAAGAAAATGAAAAGACAGAGCTGGAAAGGATAATATATGCCTGCAGAAACAACGTCACAAAGACGCATCTCCCAGAACCAGACATACACTAGGATATAACTCATAACTAGGATATAGTTACAATATAAACACACTGCCTGACGGATTTTCAGAGAGACATAATAAACACTGTACACGCAGAGCTGGCCCTTGAAAAAAGAAAAACTGACACAATAATAATAAGAGTAACAAGATAAATTCGGTATCTTAGTGCAGCCCCGCAAATCTAAGGCTTCTGAAGTTTTGCAATTCCTCCAGAAGTGACTCAATTTACCCCTGCTTTTCTAATGGGTGGGAGTTATTACCGGTCACGCCAGCAGTCGATACCCAGAGCGCGGTATGTGCCAAATGTCCTGTAAAATTAGCTTAGTAATTTGAGTTCCGTAACATTCTGCCGGACTAACAAGGACGCTGTGTCATAACACCAGACGTGCAATCCAAAAACCGAACAGCCGCTGACCTTAACTGACATCTGCAAATTTCTGTAATCCTTTCACCATGTACAGTTTTGGTTAAAAGTTTACATACAATTATCATATACAGATTTGTCACAGCAGTTCAGGGCTTCCATTGATTTCTACAGCTGTTCTGTGGCAGAATAATTATTCAACACACTACATCATAAAAAAGATCAGAAATTTGATACAAAGAATTAGTCTGGATGGTCAGATGCAACCCAATACCCACCAAGGTACAAGTCTGCCATGCACTGGAAGCTGCTGGAACATCAATGTCAATGTCTCTCCACAGTCAAGCAAGTCAGATTGAGTTGTTCGTTCACAATCACCAGAGGTATGTTTGGAGGGGAAAAGATGAGGCATCGAACCTCAAGGAGACTGTAGCAACTGTTAAGCTTGGTGGCAGGAGCTTCATGCTCTGCAGCTGTGTTACGGCTAGTGCAACTGGTGCACTGCACAAAGGAGATGGAATAATGGAATAATGAAAGAGTGAGGATTACTTTAGAATTCTTCAACATAATCTCAAATCATCAGCTAGAAGGTTGAACCTTCGACTCAATCGGCTGTTCCAACAGGACAATGACCGTAAACATACCTCAAAGTTGGTTTTCGAATGGCTGTATCCAAATGTTAAGTGTTTGGAAAGACTTTCGCAAAGTCCTGACCCCAACCCCATGGGAAATATGTGGTAAAGGTTTGAATTTGGTTGAACTCTATCAATTCTACAAAGAGTGGTCAAATATCCAAGCAGAATTCCGCCAGAGGTTTCTAGATGGCTGCTAAAAGTGTCTGATTGACTTGAAACGTGCTAAGGGACATTTAAACAGATACTGACTGTGCTGTATGTATATGTTTGACCCTGCATGTATGATTTTGACTCTGTGTTGGTCTCATAAAAACAATAATAAATTAAAACTTGCGCATCAAATTGGTGTTTTTTTATTAACTTGTGCGCTGTATAATCATTCTACCAAAGAAAATGAACAGTTGTACAAATCATTGGAAGCCCAAAACTGCTAGGAAAAACATGTTTATGATAAGTGCATTGTACACTTCTGATCACAACTGCATATATATTGTATTAAATGCATTATTACATTAATTTCAAGATGAAATGAATATAAATCGAATGTCGGAATTGTATCCACAATATTATTATATAAACATAGCTTTTCTCACTAAGAAAAAAATCTTAAAAACCTTAAATTTCATACCCCGAGGGCTGTCATCTGTGAATGTTTCAAAAAATGACCACAATCCACTGCTGAACTGATCTGCTAAAACCCTTCGTCTAAAACGTCTACGTCATTCAACCAGCTAAGCAGGTTGTAAAGGAAATAATCATACATTTTTGTGATAACTGTATTTTTATGGAAGGAGCCGGTTCACGGCAGGTGCAAACCGCAGAGTAAATCAGCAGTATATGCGACTTCATCTGCCTGTCTTACTTCTCTTGATCTAAATAATGTACAAGTGAAAGTAGCACACATTCTTCAGGGACTCAGTGTCAGATTCACTGAAGCGTATGAATGAAGTTAATTTGTTTACTAATTACACTGTATTACGTTCCTCATACTGGATATCCTGGTTGCACACCAGCGACCATAAAGACCCCCTAGCTGCACTGCCCACCTTGGCGAGGTCCTCATTGGCCTGCTTGTAGTGCTTCAAGAACAGGACAGATGAGCCGGAGTGGGGCCTGGTCAGCGGTTCCCCATACACCAGCAGCCACACCAGGACGGCAGCAACCAGCAGGCCGTTGAGAAGCCAAGCGCAGAGGACAGGGACCGCGGGGTGCAGCCACGCCGCCGCCTCCACATCTCCTAGTGGCCACAGCACACAATGACATCATAAAAGACAGACATCTGTTTGCAAGTGATTGTATAATTTCACATTTTTCTCATTGACAAATTTCAGAAGTGCACAAAAACACAACTACCAATCTTGAAATAAAAAAAAAAATTGATAGCTTGTACATAACATGCAAATGCCAGCATTTTCCATTCTTTTCATTTTGATGCTGCATCATCATAGATTTATTTATCAATCAATCAATCAAATCAATCAATCACATTTTGTTATTATTTCTTTAATTACTCACCCTTCAAAAAGAGGTCAAACAACATTCTTTTATACAGCGAGATATTTCCACTGGTTTAAACCTTGAACCAGCTCTCACTTAGCTTCTGTCAGTGCCCTTTGCCACCAGCCCCCCCCCCCATTAAGTCCCAAAACTAGCTAGTGCGAGCTCAGTACCTCCATTCTCCACACTCATGATGGTGCGGCCTGATCCACTGGCCCCTGTGCGCCCTGTGGTGCCCGCAGTACCCGTGCCGCCCATCCCCCTGCTCAGCAGGGACCCCATTGGATTCAGGGAGAGGAAGAGGAAGGTGAAGATGCAGAGAGCTACGCGAGAGCGATCCATCATGGCCACATCACGCCGGGAGACCTTCGGCTGCTTAAGCACCAGCTGAATGGGAGGAGAACAGAGGGAGAGGGAGAAGCCCATCATGTTAAACACAGGACATCAGAAACAGCAACATCACTGCAGTTTACCTGAGAATGACCTAAGAGTCTTCATCAGCTAAATAAGTCAGCGTTAGCATTAGCGTTAGTGCCTGTTTACCCCCCCAAAAGGGCTGCTGGGCTCAGAGTCACTGCTGCAGTGGGGGAAGGAGCCGCAGTGCAGAGGTGACCCTGCATTAGAGGGCGGTGGCGTGAGCAGCTCGCTCGTCACGCCGCAGGTCGGGCCCTCGACCTCCAGGGCCACCAGATCTTTCAGAGATCCTGGAAAAGAGATGAGAGGCAGTCAGCGAAGACCCGCCACCGAAAGGAATCGCTTTAATGGTTGTGGTACTCAAAGTAAAGCTTACTGTTTTTCTGGGTGGCCATCTTGAGAGCCATATTCTCTTGCTTCAGCTTCTGATTAGACTGCTGGAGGAAGCGGATGTAGTCGATCGCCTTTCTCAATACCGACGACTTATTCAGCTGAAGACAAACAAATAAACAGATGTATAAGTTCTAATATTTCTCACACAGGATGACAACCTACCATCTGTGTACATGGGGAGTGATTGTGAGGTTACCTTGGCCTCAGTTCCAGCTACTAAGTCTTTAAGCTCAATGATCTTGTTATTGATTGAGTTGCGGTATCGCTTTTCTATGGCATTGTGGGCCGTACGCTTCTCTCCCTTGTTTGATGGTTTGCCAGCTGAAGATATGCGGCTAATTGGGAGCTTCTCTGCATCCACCATGATGGGCACAGTGGTCAAGATGGCGCCACCATTTATCAGAGCCTGAAAACATGCCAAAGAGGAAGGGGCAGTCAGACATTAAAATTCAGCTAAATGAAGTTTACCGTCATTTAATTTTATATTTAAAAACATCTAGAGCAGGGGTCTCCAACTCCAGTCCTGGAGAGCTACTATCCAGTAGGCTTTCTGTCCCACTTGGCTTCTGATGAGCCACACCTGCTCCTGATATTTACCTGACAACAGGTCTGGCTCATCAGAAGCTGGGTAGGATAGAAAACCTACTGGACAGTAGCTCTCCAGGACCGGAGTCGGAGACCCCTGATCTAGAGATTGTGGAGGAAAAATATATATGTACCAGTGTAATATCATTTTTTTTCTTGAAGTTGGATGCCTTACCTGTAGAGATGTAGTCTGAACAGGAGCACAGGTAACACAAGGAGGCTTCACAGCACGGGAGGTGAGTAACAATGAGTCTGTTTTGATGAACTGGGGCTGGAGGAACAGCTGGAGCGAGACAGAGAAATTAGCATCAGAGACGGAACAGTTAATGGAAGCTAATGCAGGAGGTGCAAGAAGGCGACAGGGTAACAGGGGGCCATCTCTTACGATCAGACAGTGTGCGCGTTTCGTTTTTCGAACGCACCACAGCAACACTATGAAAGCGGCACATGCAGCCACACTCACAGGAACTTGCTGAGCGTGCGGAGAAAAAATCTGCGTGGAGGGACATGACGACGTGGCCAGCAGGGAGTCGGTGGGCGGACTTTGAGCCTGGGCTGCGTGTGTGGCTGACTGCTGAGGAGCTGTAAGACTGGAGGTGGGCTGTGAAGGATGATGACTGTGGACCGCTGTGGAGGAGCAAAGTGAGGCTGCAACTGTTACAGATGGACAGACGAGGCAGCCGTGCGATGCCGTCAAATGTTAGAACATTACAGTATTATTACAGCTTTCATACTTTATTCAGTACTCTACACCATGCATCTTTCACTTATAGTGATATTTCAGGCCGAAATGCATGGAGCACCTGCAAAAATGCCTTTCACAATTTCTGACTGGCATTTCTTACTTTAAAGAGTTAACCGGCATCCACCAAACACAACAGAGTCTGAAAACATATCCCTAGTGTAAATTACTCACTGGCCTTATTGGGCACTTATTTTACAGCCACTGACACCAAGGAACAATTACCTATGGTCACAGTAAAGTTTGACGGAGAAGAAAATCCATACTTTATTGGATTTCATCTGACATAATACAATATACTCTGTATTACAGCCATAATTACATAACATTCTTTAGGACCAGGTAACTGGTCAGTTAGTCAATAAAAAGTGGTTGCTAGACTATTTGACATGTACTGGGTCATGTATTCATTCTATATGTAACTATAAATTCCATGTCGCAGAGGAGTGGACCTGGATGGACTGATAAACTTGGTTTTCGTAGTAAGCATCACTGCAGTTGATCAAGGCTCTTTAAAGTACAATGTATTTTATCTTTTGTTAACTTTTTAAAGCTAACTGAATTGGCACTTCAAATTCACATAAAGGGCCCGTTTGCGTGTTATGCAACCAGCAGCTCTTTGACATGCAGACCGAGCCTCTTCACCAGGGGCCCAGTGCTCCAGTGAGAGCCAGCTTTCACTGGCAACTAGCATTGCAGCTGGTGTAAATCTCAAAGGGCAGCCCACAGTCTTAGTTGTGCAAGTCAGCGATGATTTGCTAAATTCCCTCTTTGCCAGCTGAGGCTGGGGCTGTTCTACCGCTCCCATGAACCAAAGTTACACTACTGCATCTACGAGTGGCAGATGACTGCAAATGCCAAAGCGAAGCTGTATACCTGAGTACTCATCCAGACTGTGATGGCTGACCGCAAGCTGTGACTGCTGCTGCTGAGATGGGACAAAGGGCGACTGTCGAGGGCAGTCTACATCTTCCGCAGCATCGCATGCCGATGAAGCCTGGCCCTCCCAGCACTGCGCATGACCAGATAACACGGTTTGGTGGAGCTTGGGGTGACTGGGTGTTGAAATTTGGGGAAAAGGAGACTGCACAGAGGGTGGGGGCTGGTACAGCGTAGTGGGGGCAGGAATATCCAGCAGGGCATCTAAGTGTGAGGTGGCAGTCGCCTCTGGATGGAGAGTGGAAGCTGACGTGGGAGCTGAAGTAGCAGTGGACTCGGAGAGGGCTCTGAGGTCCTGAGTAGGGGCACCTCCAGTGAACTGGGGATGATCAAAAACACTGGCGAACTCCATGTCATGGTTATTGATGAGCTGCAGCATGTCTGGGAACAGGAGACAATCACCACCATACACATCATACAGTGTTGTTAGTTTTAGATTTTTCATTTGGGTTATTTTCAGTGATTACTGAGCACTTCAGTACAACTCATCAGTCTTTCATTATTTTTTTTAAATAAATATAACAAAAGTTTCAAAAACTTTTGAATTATGTTAATCATGAATTGTGTTTAATGAACATTTCTCTTCTGCCTCCATGCTTAGATGATTGGGTTTGTGAAAGGTGCTGTATAAATGTAATCTATTATTATTTTTTACTATTATTATGAAATAACTAAAAATTAAGGCTGGAAGATGACAGGGTCGCTCCCCTTAACTCGTACAACATATATCAAATATCTAGATCTACATATAAACGTGTAGAACTGTACATTAAAAAGAAGGATGCATGTGTAAAAAGGTCATTCTTGCATTTTACTTATAATTATTTTGAGAAACAGATCACCTTTCAGGGAGGAGGCGCACAGCACTTTAATACACTTAGTGGTGAAAATCCAGTTAACAACAAGCTATGCCCAGAAACCATGTGGAATGGCTGTTTTAATTCCGGTTGAATGTGAATCCATTCTATTAACAATAAAGCACAGCTCCTACTTAGGGAATTTCACTGAATCAGAAGCACATATTTATATGCTGGGGGTCCAAACAAGAGAAATGATCCCTACATGTAGTACGTTTTGCCATTTTAGTAAAAAATATGTCGTGATTGCGGGCTACATTAATCATTCACAATTAAATAAATAAATTAGCCATAGAGCATCTCAACGTTAGATACAGTGTGTAAACAACAGGCATTTCTATGTCTATAAAACATTTTCACAATGTTGAAAAAGTACAAGATAAATAGACAGCTGAATCTCGATGGAAATAAATTAGTCCGATTAATTTGAAAACAACCCACCATTGTCAGTTTTATTTATTAAATTAGATAAGTTTGCTTTACTTAAATCTTCAATACATACAATATATAGGACACATGCAATGGAAGTAAAAAATATTAAGAAACACAAAAAAAAGTTTTTAATTAAATTTTTAATTTACCTTCCAAAGTGCAATCCATATTAATATTTAATGTATTGTAGCTTGTATATCATAGAAAGTTTTTAATCAACTTGTTTCCAGAAAGCTTATCAATAACGACTTTTTAAATAGCAATCCAAATAAAACGGTCTTCATTGATCTTAAACCTTTAATTTAAATTGGAGGCAAACATATAGACTGAGAGCATCTACACTATGGATGTGTAGTGTCTGCCTCCTTAACTACAAAACACATGGCAGTCCAGCTGGATTTGTAAAGCAATGTTTTGACATGAGGTGACTGCCTACAGCCAATGGGAAACTTGCAGTTCTGCAGACAGCCTCAGAGACGGAGCGAGAAAGATCGCGTGGGTGCTTACTGCCAAAGCAAGGTGATTGACCAAGGGTTACAAACAGGTGACTGCAACCTTTTCAGTATAAGGTTATTACAGGTCACATGAAAAAAAAACGTATAATCTTATTAATAATAAAATATAATAATAATAACAATAACTATAATCATTAATATAATAATAATAATAATAATAATAATAATAATAATAATAACATGTTTCTATTTCACCTATTTTGTTTATTGTTTTATAGTCTATTATATTAAACTCAGTATTATTCAGTGCATTTGACAAAAATGTATTAAAAACAATATATAAAAACCTTAAACCTTTTGAAACGTTTCAATTTATTTATATTCAAATTGAACATAAAAAACATCAGTGAGGTTGCAGTATCGTACGTATTTCAGAATTTGATTCCATCGATGTCTTTTTTAGATAGTGCCAGTTTGTAATTGGAAAAGTATAGAATATATTGTGATAATACTGCCACAAAGAGATTTCTGCTGACTGTCCGAAAGTACCTTCAATGAGATTACGTCACCGAGAGAAAGGGGCGGCGACGAGTGGCCTATTTACGCTGAAGACTTTCACCACGAAGTATAGGGGGGATTCATTGCCATATCTAGCAAACATTTCGCTCAGCACCACAGTAGTGTATTTTTGGATTCGGGGGAAGAATCTGCGACGGAGAATGTTAAATGCATTATACTATTAAATGGTAAATCATTCATTTTGACTACCACGCATTGTTATAGGCCAATTTAAACTGGATTTTTGTGCAAAAAGGCCAACCCATATTTTTTAAGTACCCAGTAAAAGGTGCCGTTTCCCATACTTTTTATAGTATCTATAATATTAATTACACTCCTAACAACTACCGTACAAAGGTTTGCATGGCATGTGGACTATGAACGGTGATGCTGAATGACAGACCCATTAGCCAATTATTTGCTAAGAAAATCCGACCAATATCCTATCAACAATGTTTTTGCGAGGTTCACTATTTGTGAATTTTTACGCGTAGGGGCGGAGGTTTAGCTAAGTCTCCCTACCGTAAAAACCGTAAAATAGTTTTCTGTGAATTAAAATGTTATTGTGCTGTAGCATAATGACAGTCACGTATAGTCACTAAAGTGCAGATAAAAAGGTAATTGTTTTTATTTCATAGGCCAATTGTTTGATTATTCTCGCATATTATTTATGTCTATTTATATCTAGTCTGGCTGGTTAAATTAGACAAGGCGACAATGCAGGTTAAAATGTATTAAAGTAAGTTCTATTTTGTTTGATTCCGTCGGCAATGCAATTATACGGTTACATAATCATGCTTTAATGCCTATATATATAAGAAATATAATCATGTCGTGCTTTAATTATACTTGGGTTGCGTAACGATATACTAAATTAACTAAAGGCACTTTTGCGGAAAACATTAATTGAGCACTATGATTTAATTAAAATAATAAAGGGTATCTAATATAAGTGTATTAGCCCTATTGGCAGTCATCAATCGCGCCTGTTTGGCGTTTAAATATGACCTCGTCTGTGTATGTGCCAATATGAGGTGCGTACCAAGTGGGACCGTATAACAGCACATGTTCTGCAGTATTCTAAGTCATTTAGTCCTGCTTGGATGGATAATGTATTGCCTTTTGAAAGATTGTTTGGTTGAGAAAAAATAAATGTAAAGTGATAAGATATTTATAATTGAAATTAGCAGGGTGGCTTAGTGGCTAGCACAATAGCCTCCAGGGGAGAGCTTTACATTAGGAGCCCCCCTTAGGGCATCTCATGTTCTACCTATAGCCAGAGCTGGCCCTGATAGCCTTGCATCTTCAGGACTGGGGGGGTTGACTCCCCCCTAACCTTTTGTGTTTGCATGGTCTTCCTGTGGTTGTGTAGAAGCTAATGTGCGGTCATAGTGTTATAGTGCAAATGGCTGCCACAAATCACTCACATGCTAATCACTGATTCTCGTTGGAGTTAGCCCTGATTAAAAAAAAACACAACAAATAATACAAAGAGCATCTGGATAGATGAAAAGTGACATTTAATCCATGTTTTCAATAATTATTTTTTTAATACCTTGCAAACACCGAAAAACAGAAAACTAAACAGGAATGCTTCTGCAGGCATGAGAAGAAAAAAAGTGCAGTCCATGTGTTGTGACTTAGGAAACTGTCTGGATGTAGCCATTACTGTTCATTCAGTCAGTGTTTCCTGAATCCAAAGCCTACCTTAGGAGTCACAGAGGCCAAGGCTGGTCCGTAGAAGAGCACTTCAGGCGATTAGATTACTCAGACGCTGCAGGAACTGCTAATCACCCACACACACCCAAACATAAAAAATGATCAACGTCAAAATGACAGGTTTTTAATCACATTGTGGGAGACATTTGGTCCCCACAATGTAATATAAACCTACCCCCCCCCCAACATACACACACACTGCAAATCAGAGGTGGAAAGTGCCGGTCAAAACTAGTACAAATACAGACCAAGATTTTATTTCAACCAACCACTTGACTGCTCTTTGACTTTGATTCTTTATACTTAATTGGTCTGGATTTGTACTTTTTGGACCAGCATTATCCAACTTGCTGCAAACTATTCACACTGTCCATGTATGTAGCCACGGTAATTGCTGAGACACTGTACTGTACCATAAAACTCAAGTTAAATATTTTGTTTTTTTATTATGACTTGGTCAATATCCATACTCCGTAATTGTTACTAAATATTTTATCGGGATTTACATAATTTTTGTTCGAGGCTGAATATTATTTAAACCCTGCATTTTTCATTGAAGTCTGGAACAGAAACTACTAAAAAGTGTTTTGTGTTACAAACAGGAAATTCCCTACTTGGCCAAATACCTATAGTAATTATGAAATAAACACAACACAATATTATAGCACTCATCTTTTTAATAAGGCAGGTTGAACTGCTGTGTTTTAGCAAAGATAAACATGGACCACAGGAAAGACATTTTGAATTTCATCTTGTTAAATAACACTTCTATAAGATTATTTAAATAAATAATGCATTGTCAGTTATGTATGCGACTATAACGGCAACAGAATCCAGATATCAATTCCAATTCTGTTAAAACATTTTTAATCTGTCATGAAACCCATCACAAATGTATGCACCAATACAATGACAATAATATCTAAGCAATAGATCGCTTGATGAACTGCAGCATGCAAATCTGCATCTGCCCCTTTAGTGTTTTCATCACATTTCCAAAGAAGTTCAGACCAAGAAATGAGAGAATCGCTTAACTATGTTCTGGGCTGGCAAACTTCCCTGGTTGAGTGTAAACAATCTAAAATATTTGATTAGAAAAGTCAGACTTCAGGACATACAAGTACAGACTTTTATCTGAAGGGAGTATCTACTGGTATTTACAGTAATGTTCTCAATAGGCAAAAAAGATATTTATGATATATATTTTTATTTTTTATGTTCCCTTTTCAGTGTTCCCAACACATGCAAACACAATGCATGTGGGTGCATTCAGACTACAACACAGAAATCAAGACGCAAATAAGTAAACTATACAGACTGTAGATGCAGGTGAAGTCCCTTCTGTAAGTACCCCTATGCCCTTCTGTAACTCCAGGTACATAAGTACTGAAAATTAAACTAAACAAAATAGTAACCCAGCATAAAAGCAAAATTCCCCGGTAATTTAAAAAAAAAAAATACCGGAGTATAGAACACTTACAACCCTATTTCACTAAGATTTTGCAGGCAATGGAAGGGAAAGGGTCTGTAAAAGCTGGGTTGCAATATGGCAAAAAGGGAAACTGGAAGATATGCTGAAAAGCACTCCCTCGAGTACCTGTGAGGATGCAGTGACCTGCTAAGATTTGAAGAGGTCGTGCTGTAGGGGGCAGCAGAGCTACGGTGTTGACTGAACACCAAAGCTGGGCCAGGCCAGTCCGCTGGTAGGCTGATGCTTCACTCTGGGTATGTTACACAGCAAAGAGGGTGTCTTCGTGCACCCCCGTTTTTTTACGCCCACCGCCGGTCATGTGAGCAGGAGGGGCAGGATCTCCAGCGGAAGGCGTCGGTAAGCTAGGCATCATCTCGGCAGCTTTGGCCCGCTCCTCTAGAAACTTGTCAAACTCTGGAAAAGCAGGAGGTATATTCAAACCGGCGTTTTGAAAATGTGACTTATGCCTTCGTAAAAGCACTCAAGGAAAAAAAAACAAAACAAAGTATGACGATGTTCATTCATACCTTCACTCGTGACTCCTTCTGCTTCATTGCCCTTCTATATACCAAAAAACAAAAACATATATTTAAAATGTTCTTACTTTGTATCTAGGTTTTAAAAAGACTGTGAAACTCCCTGTCTCAACTTTCAGCTGACATCTGGGCTGATATGCAGGTCAGCCAGCTCTCTGGGGACTGAGGACCACTGGGCCACTAGCTTCACAGGTACAAACACAATGCAGCTACATCTATGAGGGAAGCACAGAGCTTATTTACGGCACAAGATGTGTCCACATTTCCCACATGGACTACCATGGCATTCAGTGAGATGGACAGGGGCCTCTTCTGACACAAAACACTAATAGTTATTCTGTAATGAAGTACTGTCCTGTACACTTTATTCAGCTCCATTCTACTGAGCTTTATAATGGGACATATTTCCTCAAGCAGGATGTTGGTGCCCTGCTGAGCTAAAATAACAAACAAAACATCAGAATACTGGCACATGATTTCTGCATTTGTCTGAAATAGTAAATATTACATTAGTAAATGGTGATTTTTCAAGGGCATTTATCTTTAAGGGTATGTACCTTAAAATTGTTAAACACCTTGGTTTTTTTATGTTAAGAAAATGAATCCCCAAATATACAGTCTCATAGTATTTATAAAATTACTCCCCAATATACAGTCCTAAAGTATGTTTTAAATTACTCTTCAATACACTGTCCCGTAGTGTGCTTTATAAAACTCCCTGTAATACTCCCCTAAATAGTGCCCCTTGGTAAGTTTTATAATACTCCCTGATACACAGCCACATGGTATGTTTTAGATGAATCCCGACAGACAGCCCCTTGGTATGTTTAATATTACCCACCAATGTGCAGTCCTGTGCTATAATTCATACTACTCCCAATACACAGTCAGTAGCCACTTCATTAGCAACACCCAGCTGGTGCGGAGCAGGGCCCACTTTCACCGTCAGAATCGTGTAGATGAGGCGTGCATTTATAGAGGTCTTTCTGTAAATCACTTTTGTACTGAGCCATTATTTTTGCACTTATGACCTTCCTGCTAGCTTTAACGACTTCTGATCGCTCTCGTTAACAAGGTGTTTTTGCCCCCTTTACTGCTGCTGACTAGATGTTTTTTTATTGCACCATTCTCTCTAAACTCTAGACACTGTAGTGCATGATAATCCCAATTTGATGGCTGTTTCTCAGGTGCTGATATCTCCATATCTGGTGCTAAGAATCACAGCAAATTAAAACTCTCTAAGATCACACTCCTTAGCCATGCTAATGCTAATGCTTAGCTGCACAGTAACTGAACCTCTTAACCCTGTCTGTGGGTTCTATGTATTTAGTTCCAGCCACATAAGTTATTGTTTCCAGAAGCAGACTGCATGTGATATTAAGCAGGTTTACCTAATAAAATGGCCACTGAGTATGCAGTGCTTGGTACGCTTTATACAAGCTCCTAATATACAGTCACATAGTAACTTTATATTATTCCCTAGGTATGCTGCATGTTACTTCCCAAGACAATCTAATACATCAACTCATCACTTTCAGACCGTCCATCGGTGACACGCAATGTAAGCACACACTTCATGAAGAAATGTGCAAACAAGGTCAACAGTACAAGGCCAAAGCTGGACAATTAAAACTTAAAGCACTACTTGGCTCTAAATCTTACATCTACACAAGCAGGGCTACTAGATCTACAGCATAAGAGCTTTACAGCAGAACAAAATGTATGCAAAACCAATTAAACATAACTGGTGAAACATAACTGAAGAAAAACTACAATGGCTGGGGAAGAAATAAAAATAAAAGAAAGATGCGAGGTAAAATAAAGCATAAAAATGAAGGTAAAGAAGTCTCACCACATCAGCACAGAGCCACTCCTCTATGTCATCCATGACAGAGGACTGAGCAACGGGGATCTATGGGGCAAAGCCACGGACAAACCAAGGCCCAGGCAAGCCAGACAATTTCCCCCAAAAGAAAACAAAAATACCGGAATTTTAACAGAAGAATATGGACAATGATTTGTTTTTTTAATCACAATTATTCAAAGAAAAGCTAAAGTATTAAAATACCACCCACGCCGGCACACGACAACAGACAGCGGCATCACATACACGCCTGTGAGTGGAGGAAGCAGAAAGCCAGAGCGGTGATGCATGGCATGCGGTGAGAGCGGAAATGGGCAGAGGAAGCAAGAGACATTCTGGGAGAGCTAAAAGGCAAGACAGAATTTAAATACTGCACTCAAGTTAGGAAAAAAGGGGTGAGAATTGGATATGAAAATGGGTTCCCTTTGAACCCAAACCACAGCTACAGCCAGATGTTTGTTTGGACAGCCCAGAAGCCCCAAATATAGGTCGGTCTGTCTTATATGACTAAAGCAACATTACAATATATTAGAGCACCTTCCTTCTTCCCATGTAACCCAGCGTTATGGAAGATCCATCAATCTACCGACCTCCATATTTTAAAAGAACACTCATCCAGCCTAAGTGCATGTCTTTGGTGGGAGGAAGCCAACACAACACAGAGAGAGCAAGCAAACCCCACTCACACTGAGCAGAGATGGGATTCAGACCCCAAACGCTTGAGGTATGAGGCAACAGTGCGACCCACCGAGCCAAAGCGCCGCCCAGATAAAGAACGTGTCGCATGTAAATCTTCCAGGATATTCAATTCCTCACAGAAAAAAAGGATGATCTCTGTCAAGTTCCACTGCTAACTACCACTGAGTGACTGCAGGTTATCTATGCTACTATGGACACACTGTTTATTAGGACAATGATTCGTCTTTAAATTATGCTCATCCAGAGAGAGACCCTGAATTTGTCCCTGCTGCTTTAACTTCTTTAAACTCTTTTATTACTTGGATGAAATTGGATGTCTGAGTGTGTAGAACCATAATCTGAGAAACATTAAATAGGTCGGACAGTCCTGAGGTATGTCTTTTAAAATGTCTTTTACGCCATCAGCCCACATCCGAAAGCTCACCTCCAGAACAGCTTATGGCTTTACTAAAAGTACTCACAAAAACCAGCAGTACCAGCGATGGGATGTAGATGGTTCATGATGTTCATTAAATAAAGAAAAGGAAACACCTGCAACCTTGACCCTCACCTAATTAGCAGCGACAACAAGGCAGCAGCCAGAGCACAGGCTACACATGGTGGAGAAGCTGGAATGGCGATCCAGCGACCACACTGTGTTTAAAGCAGCCAACTAATCACAGTTCAGGGTAACTCAGGCTTCCCCTGAAGCAGGATTCTTTGACTTAACTTTTTATATTTTTACAGAAAACACAAAAATATAAAACACACATGAACACTCAAATTTAAAAAAATCCTGTTTTTTCTAGTGGTGTATTTGATTTTTTACTAACGACTATGAAGTCAGAACATGATAAACTATATACAGTGGGTACGGAAAGTATTCAGACCCCCTTCAATTTTTCACTCTTTGTTATATTGCAGCCATTTGCTAAAATCATTAAAAAAAAAATTTTCCTCATTAATGTACACACAGCACCTCATATTGACAGACAAAAAAAAGAATTTTTGAAATTGTTGCAGATTTATTAAAAAAGAAAAACTGAAATATCACATGGTCCTAAGTATTCAGACCCTTTGCTGTGACACTCAGGTTCTTTCCATTTCTTCTGATCATCCTTCATTCATTCATTTGAGTCCAGCTTACATTACATTACATTTACACTTTAGGATGAAACCTAATTAGCCTTCCCAAAGCCACCAACTGACTTAAAAATGGCCAAATTACAGGTAAATGTAGAACCATGCTTTTATAAAAAGAAAGAAAGAAATATCTTTTAACTCCAGTTGGTAATCTAATGTATAGCCAAAAAAGTATAAAAAATAAAAAATAAAAAAGTTTGTTTTCCAGTGATCATCAGATATAAAGAAACTTGTTGATTCTGGTACTTATCTGATATTAAAAAGATAACATTGAAATTGCATACTTATATAAACTCAAGCTTCTGTGAAATTCGGCATCCATAATTGTTTATGACTTTTATTTTAAAAAATGCAGTCTGCTGCAATGGAACAGGCTGTTATTTTGACGCTATCAGATGATCATACGGTAAGTGACGAATATGATGGCTGACATGAAATGGATGCCAACAGTAAAAGGGATTGAGCTGAGAGTGTGACACTAAGTGCCATTGCCACGACTGGAACAAACTTATTCCTTAAAGATTCCTCAGCAAAAGATTCAACAACACATTATTAATGAATCAAGAAAACGGAAAAGTGGTAGTTTAACGACAAAGCACTCAACTGTGATGTTCATCCAATTGGCTTTTCACTGGAAAACCGAGTTACAAACCAATGTGACATTAATGTTAGCATAATAACAAACTTCAAAGACAAAGATTAGGCTATAGCATTATTTATATCATTTAAAATTTTGTGAAATATGCATTTTATGTAAAAAGAATCAATGTGGTATTCAATGGGCAACAGATTTACTGCATTAAAATTTCCGTATTTTTTTAAGTTGAATTTATAAAATGCTCTTGGGATGGAAGGTAAAAAATCCATCAACCTGATAGGCCAAATGATGAATTCAGAGAAGTGCCAATTCCAAGTGAAGAATGACACCTGACCTGCAGGGTCAGGCCACTGGCTGTGCCGCCGGGCGCCCAAAGTGGCATCGCTGCAGCACTGCCAGCTCTCCCTTTTACTGTTTAATATTGCCGGATTAGCAGTGCAGGGGCACAGTGAGGGGGGTGGGGGGGGGGGCAGTGGTGACATGGACAGCAGCGCTGGTGAACGTCTCACCATTCCTTGGGTAATGAGCCAGCTGTCTATTGGCTCCATGTCTGCGTTACCCCCTTTCAACCTCCGCTGAATCAACAACACAAAAGGCCATATACACATGAAGCAAAAACAGAAACCCAAAATATGTATATCCATAACTATTTTTATATAAAGAAAACAAAAAGTTGGACTGAACATGTAAAAAAAAATGATAAAATGTTATGATAGAATCGAGATAGAAAATCCATTTCATGAAAACATTTATCCAAATTAAATTGTATTACATGATAAGAACTTTCCTAATCAATACATTTATTTATTTAGTAGACACTTTTGTCAACATACAAGTTGAGGAGAGCTTGGGGTCAGAGAGCAGGTTCAGCCTGGCATCTAGCATTCCGGGGGCAGTTAGGGTTAAGGGCCTTCCTCAAGGGCCCAACAGTGATATGGCTACTCTGCCAGGCTTGGGATTCGAACCTACACCCTTCCAGACACAGATTATAGCATACTGACCTGCACAACACCCTAATCCAGCCAGATATGAACTCCAATGTTTTCAGTAGCTGACGTTTACTAAGATACCCCCAGAACTCCAGAAATGTCTTTTTCTTTCCAAACTTTTCATTTCATTTACAGAAACACACATAAACACTTGTTCCACCCTCAGGTTATATAAGCACATAACTACAAATCTTCTGTGGTTTGTGAAATTTCCAACTAGGCAATTTCAGCTGAGTTTATAAATTAATGTAATTTAACTTCTAGGTCCCTACTGTACACTCAGATCTAACTGCACACCCTGACATAGTAAGCTGTAAGGGGATATGGACCTTGGGCATAATGTGTGACCGTTTCAGAAGGATGCAATATCAGTGCTTTAAGGTCTGTCTCTTTCCAGACTTGGTCTTTGCTCGGCAGAGAAGGCATATACTGCTGTGGAATCCCCAATCCATTTCTGAGACTTCCGAGAACTTTATTCCCCAAACGCAGTTAGTTTCTACAGTTCACCATTACAATTTCTGGAAGAATTAGTCAGAAGTTCAGAAGAACAGTACACCCATGTTATACCCAAACCCAGATCATAAGAATGTCAATATTTCATTAGTACCACACTACAGATTCTGCATACGCTTCACTTTTTAGTAGTGTTAGCTGTAGCTGTGAGTCGAGAGCTGAAGTTCACGCCACGCCATAGTAAGTCCATGCAGGTCAAGGGGAGACACAGATACTTACAGCTCTGAGTGCACTTACCCCTTCGGCGCTCTGAGATCTGATGTCCCCAGCGGACACCTGAGTATCTTCAACTTCTGTACTGCTAACAAATAAATGGATAAATGAGATGTCCGGCACGTGTGCTTTTGATCTTGTATGTGCCATACTAAGTTAATAAGAATCTCCACTTCAGGAAAGGCAAACCACTGAGATACAGAAGGTGGACAAAAGAATGGAAACACCACATGGAAAATGCTTTTATTATTCCTCATTAGCTGAATGCAAATAAACAGTAAGGGTGCTTTTCCACTGCACCAGGCACTTGGTAAGAAGGTACCAAAAGTACCAACATTTCAAGATGTTGGTTCTCCACTGGCATAAAAACTGGTAACGGTGCTGAAAGACATCACAACATCAGGCAGGGTATTTTGTACTGAATTTGAAAAATGGCTGCAGTACAGTGGTACCTCGGTTCTCGAACTTAATCCGTTCCGGACTCCGGATCGAATCCTAAAAAGTTCGAGTTCTGATCGAATTTTTCCCATAAGAAATAATGGAAAACCAATTAATTGGTTCCCGCCCCCCCAAAATTACACCTAAATATGTTTTGTTTTTTTTTTAGCATTAAAACACAAAATGAACAGGATAAAATAAAAAGAGCATTTTTTTCTTAATGGCTTCCAAAACGCCCCCTCGTTAACCTCATGTGGGATCCCCATGTGATCAGCTGTTTCTGGTTGTTGTCATTAGTCCTCTGTATTAAGTCCGCGTGTCAGTTTGTTTCCCCAGTCCGGTCATTGGGTGCGTTCGACTTGCTTACAGCGCTGGCTTAAAGCAACGCATTCTGATCCTGACGCAATGCATTCATTACGGTTAGATGCATTGCGTCAGCTGTTCAACAATCAGGACTTCGATCTGTGAGCTTTCAAGGCAAATTGAGGTTACCCCCCAAAGGTCCGAAGACACCAAAGGATCAGTAGACGAGTTACAGGTGCCTCAGTCACAAAAAACTGCAAAATGAATGTGCAAATGGCATTTTGCTAAACATGGGCAAACTGCATTGAATTTCATCTGGATGGTTGATAGGCTGTAATTCAGCCTCAAATATGACCTCAAAAGAATTCCTATGTAACCAAGTTTCAACAAAACCTACGCCATCATTAAGTCTTATGATTGCTCCACATGATCACATAATGGCCAAGGAACATGAGGACATTTTCCAAGACAGTTCCCTTCTGATGTCCCCATATTCCAAGATGGTCATGTCTCCAGATACACTGCTAAAAAAATGAACGATGTTTTCCTAACTACCAAGCTTTCTATGACCTCCTCAGTCATAATAATCTAAACACCATTACATGTTCAGGAGCATGCAGATTTCCACTTCCTTTATCCCTTAAAGAACTGGAAGCTTTGAAAGGTCCAACATTCCACTACATGCAATTCAGGACTTTTCTGTAGGAAAAGGTGGCTCTACCCCTTGATATTGATAAATCTCTAGCTGTTTCATTATTCTGTCCGTGACCTGTTGTTACATACAGAAAGGCAGAATTCATCATTTCTCTTACAGTAGGAGCAAAACTGGATGTAAAAGTCTCTTACTTTTTATGTTGCTGTGGAAGGGTGCCAGTCCTTGTCTGAGCAAACACATCAAAGTCATCCTGCGGGTTATAACTTGGAATGGAGCTCAAAGTTCCGCTTACACTGTCTGCTCCCATATCTGGAGACATCACAAAAAAGGGAGTAATGCTAACTGGATCCAGAATAGCTTAAGCACAGAGATCACTGTAAGGCTTTCATCACTTGTTAATAGATGTTCCTCACTCTCAATTATCTAAAGAAGAGTGCTAGTTACGGGTAGCATAACTTGAAAACAGTAACTCTAGATCCGAGAGCCACAGACAAGTGGCAGTAATTTGCCACCCATCTTGCACTAATGGCTTCTAAAGATGCATGGACAGGCAGTGTGGAAGGCTGCTGCCTTACCGAGTCCAGCAAGCTGTGTAGAGAGGGAGGGCGACGCCGAGGCAGGGGGTGCCACCGAGGCAGGGGGCGCCACAGAGGCAGGGGGCCCCACAGAGGCAGGGGGCGCCACAGAGGCAGGGGGCGCCACCGAGGCAGGGGGCGCCACCGAGGCAGGGGGTACCGCGCTCACCCTGGGGCTGACCACTGCCGGGGAGCCCGGCCCCAGGTCGATCAGGTTGTCTTCAGTAGCCTCGCTGAGGACCTGTGAGCACAAAGGCAGGGACAGTCACAGGAGGAATCAAGCACGCGTCATCACTGGCAGAAATGGGCTCTCTCTTTAACAACATACATGCAACTTCTATTCACTGACATTTGCATTTTATTACAACTTTAATGAGAAAAATATATTATTATTATAATAATAGCCTAATTACATAGGATGGGTATTACAATGACAAATAAACAGTAATAGCATATTAAATTGGATTTTAAAATCTAGGTAAAATAAAAATCTCAGACATAAAATGGCTTTTTATAAAAGCAAATACCCCCTAACCGAGTACTGGGTAAGCAGTTGGAGGGTAGATGGAAGGATAAAGGCAAATGGGGTTTGAATGCAGTGCAAAAGTTGAACTGAATAACATGCATTGTATAGGAAACTTCATTACAGGAGTAGCATAACAGCTGTTAATGCAAATTTCTAAGCTAGAAATGCATAAATATGCTCTGTTACTTCTCATTAGCAGCCCGAAACTGTAAAGAGTCCTTAAAAGCACTTGTCAGACTGCTTTTAACTTGCTAAACAGCCTCATAAACATAATACCACTGGAGGGTCGAGTTCTCTGCAGACTCCTTTAATGCTGGCAGACACTGGTCACATGCTGCTGATGGGCCTGCTGGTAGGGAGGGCAAAACAGGAACCGGCAGACCTTAATTTTTGGGAATCACATAATAAAAAGATGTTTTTTTTTAAACATACTGTGGTGTCAAATTGTAATGGTGGGCAGGAGTGCAAATTCCCCATGGGTCACACACATTTAACGCAGCCAACCGGCACGTGTAACAGTAAGGAGAAGCGAACTGGGCGAGGACCCTGAAAATGCGCACATTAACGGCATTTCACATCAGCTAATAAACTGCCTTTTTTCCCCCCAGATATTTCAGTGAATTTTTTATCTCATCATCCAGTCCTGCTCTCTGTGCCTGTAGTTAGAGATACTGGCTTTTTCATTAACAAGATGTTACCCAGAAGGAATGCAGTAAAATCTCAGCCGTTCTGCTAACAGGAGGGCATCCTGATCAAACCTGGGCTTTAAATAAAAACTTTAGGAAAAATATAGGAGAATGGCTTGGGATCGATACAGTAGTGCATCGCATTGGTAATAACACTAACAACACGTGATGCATGTTTACCAGCACTAAAGTGGCCTCATCCAGACATGTCCAACCCTGATCCATAAGAACCAGCATCCTGGGGGGTTTTGCCAATACATTTTAATTACAGGGGTGACTTGCTAACAGCTGACACCCCCAGGACTCCCCCTGGCTCTTGAGGAGCAGTGATAGGTGCACGGTCGATACGTTCAGCTGCAGCGCAAAAATGCAGTTCTTGTGGTGGTAGTGTGGGGGGTGGGAGGGGCAAGCACTGACCACTACACGAACCATGCAGTGGAACTGTAAGTCTGGAGCTGAAACTGTGTCCTCAATCTGAAAACTGGCACACTCACACTCAGTAGATTTTCATGACCAGCAAGCATTGCCACACCTATCAGGACAGTGTAGTTAAACTGGTGACGGAATTTATTTTTACATTATATTTGCCTCTAAAGGTCACCTGATGTCACCTTAAGATTCATGAGAAACTGTCAGATAAGTTAACGGTCATCTCTGGCATTCGAAAGTAAAAAAAAATGAGTCATTGTTTGGTCATGGTTTGTTTTGGTATTACGTATATGTGCTAAACGAAGCAGCTGCAAATCCACGTATTCTGCGGGGGGGGAGGGGGGGGGGACACAGACACACACTGCATCTTTAAGGAAAGGCTGAGGGTCATTCAATGCATGCTGCATACGGAAGCAGGCCGTGATGAGGCGCGTCTGTGCATCGCGGAGAGGGCTGCGGCGACGCCCGTAATCAGGGTGGGGGCCACGACAGCTCCAGTATTCTGATCAGGACACAGCCTCAGCTCCTCTGCCATTCGGAAGAACGCCCCAGCCATGGATGTCCTACAGACTCGTCAGGGTGTCTGAGGTCGCCACATAAGGACACTTCGATTTTATCAGTAGGTCCGTGGGAGGCCTGCGGTTCCCGGGGTCTGTTTCATGCGAGTTTGCAGCAATGGCAGCAGGCTTGGATGCGGCATCAGGGTGTGCTGAAGAGCTACTGACATTCCCTGGTGCAACTCCTCATTCCCAAATACAACAACATAAAGAATAATGTTTGTACTTGCCTGCCTCAGCTAGCCATAAAAAAAAAACAGAAAAATAAATGGCTTTACATGCTGATTATTGCCCCATGCATCCAAAGCGGGTCACAGTGACCCCCATTACTAATGAAACTGAAGTGACACTCATGGCTGATATTACCCGACGAAACATTTTTAAAGGGACAACCAGTAACCAGTAGATGTCAGACGATGACAGAGAAAGACCATATAAACAAACCAGTCGTACAAACACACAAGAATTTACAAGCAAACTGGTGTTTCGTTGTGACTCACCCCATTTTTGCCATTCTGAGCTGTCCTGCCTGTCCGGTACCTCTCATACCTGACAGACAAAACAACTAAGTAATTAACCTATCAACTGTACACAATCAAAAATAATTACACATATACATAAAGCCCATTTCCTTTGTTCACGATAAACAACTGACACTGTCTTTTGGTTCAGTGTGGCTTTTTTTAGCACTAGACAACAAAGGTAAAATGAATTAATACTGCTACTTAAATTTATAAATAATGTTATGTATCACATAATGCAAAAGATTTTTCTTAAATTCTAAAAAATACTGACATATATACAGGGATGTGTAGTTCAGGTCCAGAAAGTAAAAATCCAGACCAAGATTTTGTTTCAGCCACCCAGTTCAGTACTTTATGCTCAACTAACTGGTTGAAACAAAATCTTGGTTTGAATTTTCAGAATTTTCACCTCTGTGTATCCAGTAGCTTATTTCTGCATGTGTTTAATAGGAGTCGGATGGGACAGGTGGGGAACCTGGCACCTTTCGTATCGCAAGAAGATGTTGTTGAGGTCATCGTTAACATGCAGCAACTCCTCCGTAACAGCCTCATTGGAGACGCGTGAAATGAGCTCCACAATCCTTTGCTGCATGGCTCTGCAGGTGCGGTTCAGCTCCTGCACACAGAGAATTCCCTAAACAGTCACTGAGGGAGAAGCAGCGACCCTGCAGATTTACGGTGAAATTAATAAGGCAGCGATCTAGTGCAGCAAGATCTTCGCAGTTTCTGTAGCATCTGGCATCCATGTGAACCATATAGTAAAACCACTTCACTTTTTAGATAGGCAAACAGTGCCCTCTGCTGGCTGCCATTATAGAGAGAGACACAAACGGCTGTTTCATTACTCAACTTCACACTACAGCCATAACCAAGTCCATAAATATGCAGTCCACACCAGATGCCTGTTCACAAAATAAACATGTCATATGAGATAGTTTTAAGCTTAAAATGTCACATTGACAATAAATAGGAGCCTGAAGCAAACTAAGTTGGCATGAGTGATTTTTTTCTTTTTTTAATAAAGGGCACAACTTGGAGAAAGTGACAGAGGAACTGGTCTCAGACACTTTATGTACATCCACGGCCTTGTACACAATGGTCAGTGTGTATTCTAATACTTTTTAACATGACACCTAACCTGCAGAAGGTCGTGGTCTGAGGGGTCCTCCTGTCCGGGTACCATCTCTGTTAGCATCTCAGACATCACCTTGGCATTTCCTCGCACAATGTCCAGCTCACTGCGCAGCCTGGTGATCTAGACAGAGACATGGGGGGCATGTGAATGCCCGTGTGAGGGAGGGGAGAAGCTGTGACTCCCGGAATCTACTTTGTCGAGCAGGGAAATAAAATAAAAAGAGACTTCTCTCGAGGAGCTGGGCGCCCAATCGGGCAGGTGGGCGGGGGGATGCAAATTTGGTGTGATCACCAGCGATCAAAATGGGCGACTCGACACCTTTCAATCATTCGGACAAAATGCGGCCAACCCCCAATTAGCAGTAACATTAGTAGGAGAGGGAAGAATGCAAAGACCTGACAATGACCGTCCCTGGAAGCGGGTGAAGAGTAAGAGCTGTTCTACAGTGACTATGGATACAGGAAGTACAGCAAGCAGCTCATACTGAAGCCTTGATGCACCAGGTAAATGAAACCTACACATCTGGGTCTTGGTATACATGTGTGCAGAGAAGACTACCTGTTCCGAGGTGGGACAAATGGGTCCAGCAACCTCTAAACTTGGCATCTGCGGTGCTGAGTAGGGAGGGGCTGTGGCCGTGGTGGGCTGTGAAGAGGTGCTGTACTTGTGGGTGGACTGGTCCCCATCAGAGACCTGCTGCAAGCCACACAGCTTTAAAATAAAAACACAACAGTCACTCTTTTTTCCCCCGGTTCACTTAATCCAACACTCATTCAAATACGAATGGAGACTTTTATTCAGTAAAAAACCTCCTATACTTGCTTATAATCTTAAATGCAGTACTTTCCCCATGCTGGCCATTCTTGTCCCCAAGGAACATGAATTCAAAACCAAAAGCATATTTTTGCAGTAACCCTAAACACATACGGTCTAGACCAGTGTTTTCCAATCCAGTCCTCAGGGACCCACAGTCGATCCACGTTTTTGCTCCCTCCAAACTCCCTGCCAGACAGTCCACATTTCTGCTCCCTACAGGGAGCTGGGAGGAAGCAAAACCATGGACTGTCTGTGGGTCCCCAAGAACCAGATTGGGAAACACTGGTCTAAACTGTACATTGTGGTCCTGCTGTTGGGTAGATGTGAACCACAGGGAGTGCAGCCGAATGACAGAGCTTTGCAGTCCCAAGGCAGACAAGTGTCTCACCCGCTGCGGGGTGTGGATGGGAGACAGGGCCTCCAGGTCTGCACTGGGGAACTCAACCCCCTTCCTCTTCAACTCCTCATAAGTGTGCACCACGCCCGTGAGTTCCGGGCTGCTCCTGAAAGCATCAGCCCAAGCCTGCATTGAGAAAATCACACAGGATGTACTAACACCTCCATTTTGTTGAGGACACACCTTATTTAAATTGCCACCAAGGGGTAAGTGCTACGAAAGCAGCTACACTACATAATGAACTTTGTTGTTTATTTCAGGGATTTGGCCTTGTTTTTATAGTTTGAAGCGTGCATGAGAAAGCTGCTTGCAATGTGGGGAACCACGGAGCTAAGCTTTTCAGAGCATCTCTTTAAAAGAGTAAAACTGCATACCTAACAGATTTCATTATTATTTTATGAACAACCAATCATTTGTATAGGAAATTCAGGCATGACACATCTTGTACCCACACTTCTTTCTAGCTTGGCATGATGGCAAAAATACTCTTTTATGGTGCTTTTTTGAGAGAACAGCAGCATTACGCCACATCGCAAATGAACTTTACACAAATAACTTGACTGCCAGTTTTTAAGTAATTAACATGCCTGCTGTGTGCAGCTGAAATCGCACATTTTCAAATTAGAACCGTGCATCGTCTAGCATAGCAGCTTTATACAAAAAGCATCGCGGTGGTTTTACCAAATATCCCCCCCGGGGTCAATAGTCTGTCTGTCTGTCTATCACATGGATCTATCGATCCATTTGGTATTCAAAGTATGCATCCATTCTGAAAGACCATAATGTTAATATAATTACTATGTTTTAGGCCATTTGAATGAACTATTAATGGTACATGCAGCTCATATGATGGACATCAGGGTTAGTTTCACTTTCACAACCTTACAGCACACATTTGTAAGATGATACAAATGACAGTATGGCACCCGTCTGTTTTTATCATACAGGTCAGTTCAGGTCTTATGGCGTACAGATCTGCAATATCACATAGAAGCACTAAAGTGTGTAAGAAAATAGCACATCTGTGGCCTGTACTACGAAGGGGGGGTTACTGGCTTATCGGATTTAAGGTACCACAGTTTAAATGGACTTCATATTCGTTCACTTACATTTTGCCCAGACTACCTTAAATCCAACAAGTTACCCCAATAAGCCAGTAACCCTGCTTCGTAGTACAGGCCACTGAGCTGTTCCAGGATATCTGACCTTGTCGTTGTAACTAGATATAGAGTAAACTTGGCCACCGTGTACACTGGATCCCCCTGACCTCAAAATGGCGAGCGGCAGACAACCAGTTCAGATATTTTCAGCCTGCTTTTAATCTGCATCCATTCTGCTTGTCCTCCTAGGAAGACGTAAGTCTACAGCGACCTCAAAGGGTGACATGGTGTTTATTTGAAGGTGCTTAACTGCACTGAAAAGTACACGTTACACACCCTTCTAGCATTTGTCACTACAGACAGCAAGGAGCAAGATCCAAGTCCCTTCATACCTTACCAGGCAGTGACACAGAAACATAGTATATGCCAAAAAAAATTCTGTTCCTGACAACGTGAAATCCCCCATTCTCCGTGTCATTTTAAAATCATTATAACTTGAACAGCATTTCAAGCGGCTCAGTGAGTAGCACTGGTGCCTCACACCTCCAGGAATGTGGATTGAAACCCCACCACCGTGTGTGTGGGATCTGCACATTCTCCCCATTTGAAACTCATGGCCACTCTGGGTTCCTCCCAAAGACATACACATAGGCTAACTGGCATCTGTAAACTGCATGAGTGCCTGTACCCTGATATGGACAGCCAGCCCATCCATATAAATTTTGTGCACCAAAGGAAACAAATTTTATTGCTTCCTTTTTACCTGGATCAATGCCAGCACTTTGTCTTGGACTATAGAGGGAGGGTTGTTTTTTGGAGAGATTATTTTAACCAGGACACCATCGACGAAGTCCCGACTTGTGACAAGCGCATGGAAACGGTGGCCGCAGTTTTTTACGCATGTTTCCAGGACCTGGGAAGGGAAAATAAAGTTGAAGTCAGACAAACGTCAAATCGATACAGAAGCACGCTGGGTTTTCTCAACACAGAGCCATGATATTTAGAAATTATTTGTGCTAATATTCAGAGGTGTGCCTCTTATATACACCTTATTCAAACCAGTCTTGACAAGTCATCCTGGCACAAATCTCGCCGAGACAAAGCCACAGAGCTTTAATGGTGAGATGGAGATGTATGCGACCCAACCCTTCACACCAGTCTGGGACACTCACTGTCAGAGCGAACATCACCTCCCGGTAGTTCCTGTTTCCATTCAGCCTCTTCTTCAGAGCCCGTATGGCATCCTTGGGACTACAGGAAGAAAGAGACGGCTCAGAGTAAACTGTGGAAGCGTGCAGGGGGTGGAAGTGGAGTGGTCTGGGGTATTCAGATCCAGGTTAAATTACTGAAAAGAGGAGGGAAAAAACTATATGACTGTATCCAGGTTGAGGCAATGCATACTAGTAAAGAAGGTCAAGCGTCTCATATGCGGAGTAATTATGTCAAAGCAGACTGAAATGACAAGGACAACCTTATAGGCCAGAGGTCCATGAATGAAGCTTAGTGACTGAGAAGAAAAAAAAAAACAGATGCAAAGAGTTACTTTGCCATGTATCAGTTCAAAGTAAACAGCAGTTAAGGGTGGGGGGGGGCTAAAGGCACTTGCCACACCCACAAATGTATAGAACTATGGGAGGGTCAGACGCTAAATGGATGACAAGTCAAGGTGTGTGTGAGAAACAATCCAGAAGAGCAGGTTCTCCTCAAGCGAAAAGAAATCAGGAAAACAAGAGCCACAACATACTGGGATATAAAAGAGCATGTTGGACAGTGTGTTGTGTTTCAGGCAGCCACTGATAACTTTGATAGATAATAATAGATTTTTTAATATGTTGTAGACTGGCATCATGCCTAGGGTGTTCCCTGTGATAAGTTGCAGGCTTATTACAACCCGGCCCTGTATAAGCAGGAGGATGTGCAAAAGGAAGATATATTTGATAGATTTGATAGTCTGATTATATGCTATCAATCTCATAAAAGGCCCACAACTACTGTATTTACCGAGTACCACACTGAAAGGGTTAAATACAGCACGTTGAATAAGTCGAATAGAAATGTCTCTTTTCTTACACCATTGACAAAAACTCGACATGTTGCGAAATGAAAGTTAGTGCAATATGTACAAAACCAATAAGGGAGCAAGAGAAGCAGTTAGAGAAGACCCACCACCCAATGAGGCCTTAACATTTGAGTAATATGAAAATGAACAACACCGCTTGGCAGTGCTGTTATCCAAAGAGGCATTTGACTCTGTTATTCAGCCAAATAGTTTGGCTACCCATAAATAAGACAAGGGGGACAACAAAGCTAACATTGAAATATATTATCTCAAAGTCAGTCCAGAGCACTGATAAATAAAAATGGATAAAAACCCTGCAGATTTATTTCCCAAATGTATTTCCCTAAAAGAATAGTCATGGGAAATATTCATTTTAAATTAAGAAAATGAATAGATTATGTAAATAACTGTACATTTTGATGTACAATTAATTTTAGTAAGAAAAGTGTACAGTACTCAGCAGGGACTGCCCTGCAAATACAACAGTCAGCTGAAATGTTACTCTGTCACAGTCTGGAAACCCTACCACGTTACTCACCCCTCCTCTTAGCACAGTGAGCTGAAATGATACTCTGTCACAGTCTGGAAACCCTACCACGTTACTCACCCCTCCTCTTAGCACAGTGAGCTGAAATGATACTCTAAGCAACAGTCTGGCAACCCAACCATATATCTTGCCCTTCCTCAAGGCACAAAGAGCTGAAATGTTACTTTATGCAACAGTCTGGTAACCCTACCATGTTACTTGCCACTCCTCATGGGACAGTGAGCTAAAATGTTACTCTAAGTGACAGTCTGGCAACCCTACAGTGATACTTACCCCTCCTCAGTTTCATTGATGATATCACAAATCTCCATATTGAGGGTCCAGTCTTCACTCTGCAAGGAGCCATCTGTAGCCTTTTCTGAAACGACACAGACAGAAACACATAGACACACACACACACACACACACACACACACATACACATATTCAATGAGAACATGGCATATGCTGGGAAAAGCAAACTGAAGATTATTCTTGACCCAGTTACTAAAGACATCAGAATACTCAACAACTTACATAAAATGCCTTTTCCACAAAATCCCTGGAACGGGCATGTTAATTGTTTCTAAAATGGTTTCTGAGTAATTTCTCTGTGCTGTCATATTTGTTCACAAGAACATAAAAGAATATGCAAGGAGGGTATAACATCCATACAATACCTCGCTGTAGCCACCTGAGAATGAGTCAAACTGCCTATTAAGAGGTATTTAAAAATGACAGGGCCACAAAAAGGCTAGAAGTGTGTAGGAGAAATGCTGTATTCTTATTCATTTGGTATGTTTTAAGCAAGAACATAACAATTCTCAAAAAAAAACCTGTGCAAAATAAAAAAAAATTAATCACAGCTGCAGAGATCTAGGTAGAAAATAAATATGTCATCCTCATTAATCTTTTCAGGGACGAAATAAACAGTGATCAATATGAAGTACATATGTTTACCGAACGAAGGCAAAGCAAATTTTCTGACTGAGGTATAACAAAAAATTGTAAGGGCTTAGGCTTAAAGCCATACAACTGCTCTGTGTTTGCAATACACAATTATGGTGGACACGCATTAATTTTATTCATTTTTTTTTGTTTGTTGAACCGCAAAATTATACACTTGCATTAATTAAAAACTGCTCATTGTGGAAGGATATCAGCACATTTACCAGAAAAGTCAAGTGCAGTGACCTAGCTTACACAGCCCATGGAGAGCCACACGGGAGTCCGCCCTACCATCTCTGCAACAGCTAAGCAGTAAATGACTACTCTGTAAAAGGGAGACCAGGGTATTTGGACAAAAACGGAGCAGACAGAGTGCTGTTTTATGAGCAACCTGCAATTTCTCCAAGTGTTCAGCTGCCCTCATGAATAAATATATATTACTACTTATAAACCATATAACAACTCCAATTTTACAGTTAAAGAGTCTCACACCTTGACAAGTCCTTTCACGTAGAACATGCAATTAAACACACAATTCCAGTTAAAATATAAGTACTTAAAAAACTTAAAAGCTACGACTTGCAGTCTTGCTGTCATCAGAAAATTTAAAATGTAAGAAAACAAAACTTGCAAGATAGGCTAGGTAACATAAATGCTATTCCCGCCTATGGAACACATACAGCCAATTAAACACAGTGAAAATGTAGCCCCAGATCTCTTGTAAGGAGGAACTGCAGCATGTTACTAATGAAAGGGAAATGGCACTCTATTACCTGGGTTGTTTATTTCACATATGGATTCCCAGAGGACAATTCACTCCCATTGATTGCACAAATTTTCCATTCAAAATAAGACTGAAATAAGTCATACACTAAATCATTCTGAATTGATGCTATTAAGCCTACAAAAGGAAAAGACGATCCAATGGCTTCTCTAGAGGTGTCAACACCTCATACAGATAATGGGGCAACATGGCAGCTCAGGAGGTTGCGCTGTTACCTCACTGCTCCACTGTTGGGGGTTTGAATCCTGCTTCTGGAGGTACAGTTTGAATGCTCTCCTCATATGACACAGGCTAACTGACATCTCCATATTACCCATAGTGCATGAATGTGCGTGTGTTGGCCTGGCTGTACCCCAACCTCATGCCCTACGCTGCCTGGGACAGAATCCAAGCCCTCACATAACCCAGACTGGCATAAGTGGTTAGAAGATTGATCGATGGATATTCATAAGGAACCATTAGGGAGAGAAAGCATACATTCAAGATGAATTTGTACGCAGGTGGCATTCCAGATCAATGCCACTATTCTACATTGGAAAGTATTACAAATTGCCATCTCACTATTGGGTCAACAGTATAATGCATCACAGTAAACTACTGGTGTGTATAATTAGGAGAAAAACTCACGATGATTAAAATACCACATGTAGAAAATAGCTGGTGGCCCCAAGATAGCTACCACAATAGACATCCCTCAACCATGCAAAAAAAATTACAATAGCTATAATTTGCCACATTTTGCAGTGGGGGGAAAAAAACTAGCATTAAGATATTTTATTTCCTGACAAACATTTTCTTTTTACCTCATCTATAACATACTTACAAATAGTGAACTTTTATAACTAAAATACCAATTTGATATTTTAATGTAAAATGCATACAAACACAGACTGTAGATTTCCAATAAGAACTTCAAAATGCCCCCCATCATTAAGGCCTAGTAAGCTGCAATGTTAAGCCCAAAACTTGCACACATGGAAATCCTCACAAAATTATTCTGAATATATAAATTGCAGTTGTTTTTTTATTATATTAGGTTATTAATAAATACTGTTCTTTTTAAATGCAAAACTCTCAAGCCAAAGGCAGACACCGTTATGCACACTGCCCATTTAAGCAATTCAGCTCCAAAGTCCCTTTCTGTTTTAGGCCGAGTGCTTGTCTTTCATGCCACAGTGCAGTGCTGCACAGGAAATGCTTCAATATAAAAAGATCACGCTTCCAAAAAGTACTACCAGGTAATATGGGAGGAAAACATTTTATGGGGTCAGTGGATACACAGTAAGATCCTGAAAAAAACTATTCATAACAAGGTCAGTTTCTATGTAATTGTAGATCTGTTTCTTTTCATGCAGTAGGAGAATGGGTTTGTTAACGCATCTTTTCCTGGCTTTAAGCGTGCAAAAAAAAAATGTTCTTCCTGTATGTCAGGATATGTATTACGTTGTGGGGACCAANGTGTCTGTATATGTATTACGTTGTGGGGACCAAATGCCCCCACAATGAGATAAAAACCTGTTATTTTTACCTTGTGGGGACATTTTTTCAGTCTCTTAAGAGGAAACTCAATTTAATAAAAATCAGTGACTGCAAGCAGTAAACCATAAGACATAAAAGTCATGTATTTTGTTTTGGTTACTTATGATTAAGGTTAGAAGTTAAGGTGGTCATAGCTGCGATTAGAGTTTTGTCCATGAAAATGAATGGAAGGTCCCTACAAAGATACGAATACAAACATCTCTCTCTCTCTCTGTCTCTCTGTCTGTGCGTGTGTGTGTGTGTGTGTGCGTGCGTGCGTGCATGCATACATGCATGTGTGGATGTTCTCCAATGGACTGGTGATCTGTCATTGCCTTGGTGCACTTTTAAAATAGAACAAATGGTGGGTATATAAATTTCAATAACTATGCACAGGCAGTATGCTCTCTGGGAGTTAACATTCAGCTTTTTGCAACCGGAAAATGAGCAAAATATTTTCATTTGAATTTTAATGATTAATTAAGACTTAAAAAAAAAAAAAACATTGAAATCAATTTTCTGAACAGAGCAACCTTATTACACAGTTCTGTTACTATAGGACACAAATCATCTGACCAAGCCAACATGCATTTGCACTTATGTTTCATACCCTTCTACTGATGAGGATGCAGCCCAGCAAAGTCTAGTCATTTCACCTCCACTAAATGAACATAGAAGCTTGTTGAGCAGTTAGGGACAACACGAAGCAGGGCAATACAGATGGCACTGCACATGGTCAGCTCTGCAGTCATAGTGAAGGAGGTGAAAGACATATGTTGTGTCAAATGAAACAGGAGCCACGCTGACTCATCATGTGATTACACACGTTAATTTACCATAAATACAGCAATGCTTTAACTTCAAAAACATACAGTCCAATATCTTCATTCAGGATTTTTTTGTATGATGTACTGAACTAACATTAGAGCTCTGCAAAAATACACCAAAAAATGAAGTTAAATCATTTACAGTGTCACTCTCCATGGATATGACGATTATTTTCAATATAAATTACAATGATTTAGCAATTTGAGATGTAAACAACTGATGTAACAACAAATGGACAGTTTGTTATTTTTTATCAGTTTTATTTGACACTGGTACTTTGTTTTATAATATAGCAAATGATTACATTTCCATGGCAATTTTTTTTTAATCTAAGGGTGCAATATGTTAGGACAGCTCTCTGCACACCCTATAAATATTATTTAACACAATTATGTTTAGATAGTATTTAATATGGGTATTTCACAAGAAAATTAGTTGAGTTTGCATTAAAGGTTTTCTCACTTTGCTGAAAAATATGCCAAAAATACCATAAACACTGTCATAGATTCAATTTGACAAAATTCTTTGTTTTGGGTAATAAATAGCGCAAAATTATGGTATCATGACGGTACTATCGGGATTATCAAAACAAATCAGAATTTCGAACAATATTCCCCAAAATGGATAGGAGGGCAAATCCTTTAAAATGCATGTGGTAATGTCTGCTCTGAATTTAATGCACACAGAAGCAATACAGTGACACAGCAATCACTACCACTACATTAATGATGCATGAAAAGAAAGGCCATGACCATTCGGATAAATTATTTCAGTGACAGTGAAACACTAAAGAATCTCACCAGTTGAATTTCAGTAATTACTTAAATCTAGTTCGGCACTACAAGATAAAAAAAAAAGTTAAGAAAGACAAAACAGACCAAATACTCAGACCAATATAATGAGACCGGTAATACTGCTTTTTTTTCAACTATTGCATGCATTGTTAATAATTTGAATCACCATTCCCAGAGAAATAATCTCAGTATCAAAGCTCATAAAAGTGAGCAATAAAGGAATACATACAGTCGTATTCTAAAGTTATAACTAAATAAACTAATGTTCTAACTTGGCAGCTTTGTATATTAACAGGGTGTCGTTTTTTCCAGCTTTGATGTGTGCACTGATTTTTCTGAGGGACGGCTAAGGACAATATTTTTCCATCTTCTATCCAAGTTCAACTAGGACACTTTTTCTATTTAACTATTCGCTTGTGACGAGAGGTGGATTGGGAAAAAAAAACCTTTCAGTAATGACGCATTAGAGATAAGATCAAAATCAAAGCTGTCAGTCAACAAAAACATTGCCGTGAAAATACACATGACCAGAAATCGCTAAATGCCAACTTGTCCCCGCACGGAGATGCCTGTCTGATGCGGCGTCGCCTAGCCTTCAACGGCGCTAGCAAGCTAACACTGACATTGAAATGTGCCAGTGAATCGACATGTGATCGCAACGCGAAAGGAAAATGTTACCTTTTGTCATATCCGAACGGACAACGTATGTTATTGAGCGTTTCACCGCCCAACGAGCTAACTGGGTGTTTACCTATCGCCCAGGACGCAAGCGTCTGGGTTGCTCACGGCTACCGAATTAGCCCAATGAGTTGAGACAGCGGCTGAATTACCTCGCGTGTCAAAAGCAAAACTAAGTCGCAAATACAGCTACAGTACATTTCATATTAAACTAGAATAATGTTACCAGACCATCGTGCAAAATGCACTCACCTATGCAGTGCCCCACAGGAGTACTATACGGATTCCCCAATAAAAACTCCATCTTGATGACAACAAACAAATCGCACTAACTAACGCTCCCTCGCGGACAGTACCATCCAGTCCAGCCCACTATGCGCCTCATTGGTTGGTAGTGCCGTGACGTCACTGGACAGATTTCGCGTTGGTCGTGGGTTAAAAGAATCCTACGGGGACCGCTTGATTGGTCCAGGAATGTGGTTTTGCGGTACTGGCGCGTCATTTTCCTCCCCTTCTTTGGAGCGCAGGGATGGATTAAGTGCCTTCTGGACGAGTTCCGAATTGTCAATGCTGTTACTTTGAAAAAAAATTACCGATCACTTTTGTGATTTAAAAAAAAAGAAAAAGATTACCAATGATAAATATCGGAATGTCTACTGGTAACGTTTGCTGAAAACTTTACGTGACAGTCTTTATAACTGTGTAGCTAAAAATGTCACTTTTACTCGGTCGTATTTGAAATAGAAAAATGATAAATTAAATATTAGGGAAACCTCCCAAACAAATTACTTCTAATTGGACTAAAGTATTATAGGGATTCATAAGTCCAGGTTCCGCAGCAAGGGCGTAGTTAGAGATGAATGGATAGGGAGCAGTGTCTTTATTGGGGTGATCGCAAAATATTCATGACTTAAGCAAATAAATACGCATTAATGGAGGGGGGGGAAGACAGGTACATCGACGCTCCTGGTCCGCAGTATCAGCTCAAGAGTATTTGCGTAAATTGTTTGACTAGTAAAGTATATGTGCCCGTACAGTAAGCCTAATGCTATTCTTTGTTGACCAGAAAACTTTTTAGCTAGCCGTGTAGGGAACTGAACTGTTTAATAAATGCAGACAGCAAAAGGTAGTAATTTCGGTATGTTTTCCAACTAAGTTGTAAGATCACATGTCATACTCCTTATAACGAATAAGATGCTTTGTATGTGTACATTCCACTGTTACTGATTAAGTAATTGTGACTGATCACTTAAGTTTTGAATTGTCACTAGGAGTAAAACAACCAGATAAAAGTGTGTAATTATTGCTCATTAAGTGATATTAACCGGACGATTTAAAAACAAACGCTATATATTACTTACTGAAAACATTTTAAATGTTCTCCCATTCCGTATATCCAAATCAGTTTCAAAGGGGAAATGATACAATCAGAAAAATTTCAATAATTCCTTGATTCACAAATTGAAATTTAAACCGCAATTTTCATGACTCAAATGAAAACATACTAAGTGATCCAGCCAGGTCTCCAAAATAAGCTTTCATTCAGAGGCTGAGATGTTTTGAGTGCAATTGCCTTTATATTCACAGCCAGGGCCTTGAGCACACAAGGCGGCAAAGTGTGTCAGTCCTGCAGCAGTTTGTGCTTGACGGTGGAGCTTTCTGAGGACAGGTGCACAAACAGCGCACCAGCGGCGGTGCGCGACCGCAGCTCGTACATGTCGTAGTCATGGGCCCACTCCACGTTCCCCCAGCGCTGGATCTATGCAGAGGAGGAAGGGCAGGAAGCAGAACCCTGTTACTGCAGCAGTCCCAGAGCATGGTACAATATCATCTTCTCATGCAGCGTGACTCTTACCAAGACCAACTCAAACTGGAGAAACTGTTTGAGACTTTCTTTAAATAGTAGAGCTCCAGGAGTGACTACTAAATCGGGTTAAACTTGCCATCACTAAGTTTAATTGCCCCAAATGTTTTCAATTCTTTAAATATGAAAGGTTTAACCATAATTCCCTTTACAGCTGATGCTTATGCCTCTTTAGACACCTAAGCTAAGAAAACTGCAGAAAATAACTCATATTAGAGAAGCTTCAGTTGAAGCTGACCCCATACCTGGTATTCCTCCTCCAGACGGGATAGCAAGACAGCCTGTTCCACTGTCAAGTGTCTGTCAACCAGCCCAAAGGACAACACCAATGACTTCAGTTGTGTGATGATAAACTCCAGCCCTGTTGTGAAGATTGTGGTCATTTCTTAAAGATGCCATAGAATGCAGTTTTTCCTATTAAAAGTGTTCCCGGGTGTCTACATACGTACGTTTGATTTGGTCAAAAAATGCCCAGAACAGGCCCATTTACAACGCTGTTATTTGGCCCTAGAATGAAACAAGCCATTTTCCCTTTTATGGTGGGCTTATTAATATGTTGATGAGCTCTGTTCCGATTGGCTGGCTTACAGTAAGGCACTGCAATAGCTTACACAGAACAAACATATCTACAGTCATGCACTGCATAACAACGTTTTGGTCAACAAGGGACTGCAGGTACCACAGCGGTCCCATAAGACTGTAACGAAATTGTAGCACAATACATTACTCTTCTGTTTGTGATGCTGCTGGTGTAAACAGATCCTACACTACCAGTTGTGTAAAAGTATAGCATATAAAATTATGTACAGTACACAATACTTGATAATGTACTGGTTTATGTTTTTACTATACAGTGCTTTTCACTGATATTTTGGAGTGTACTCTTTTTACACATAACTCTAATACTTCCCCTTCAGCCTAGGCATGATGTTAGCAAGTCATAACTTTATTTTTAACATTGTAACAAACACTGGAATTATTTTTTATCTCCGTTAACAAATTATTTTAGTACACTATCTTCGTCATGCAGTTTTTATCAAGAACACCAAACAGTAAGATAAGCATCTTACAGATATGTTGTTTGTAATGAATTTGGATTTTCAACTTTTGCTTCCAATTTTTTTGACACCAATATCGACTGGATATTTGTTTAGCTAACCAAAAGCAGGCTATAGGCAATAGAGAACCTCCTTGTTAATGTCAGTATCATGATTAATAGGGGTAGTAGTCTCCAGTGACTGTCCAAATCGATACAATAACGATATATGTTTGACGATGTCAGTATCATGATTACTAGGGGTAGGAGTCTCCAGTGACTGCCCAAATTGATACAATAATGATATATGTTTGACGATTCAAAATGTATCAAAATTTTCAAACAGGTTTGGCAGAACAGCATTTCAGGTCTACATGTAAAGTAAAGGGCTGTAACGGTACACGTGTTCCTCATGTGCCTTTTGGTTATAGCATTTTCAGCTTGGAACGCACAATGAAACAAATCGATACATTTCTTGACACGGGTGAGACCTAAATTCAAATAGATGTTCAACATAGAAAACAATATGCTAATTGTGGCTTTGAGTTGGTTACAGCTAATGCTAGAGAGCTCAAGGAGCCTACCACTCCACTTAAATCAGTAGTTTGGGAACATTTCGGCTTCCCAATAAATTATACCAAACATCAGAGAGAATAGTTGATTAGACTGAATGGTTCGGTTGTACCAAAATCAGATATTTTTCTGTAAACACATCCAACATGCTAACTTATTTTACGTGACATCATTTGAGTGCATGCTTTTGCCAGGGAATTCAGATCAGGCTTAAAAAAAATAACTAATGCTAAGTTCACATCAGACAGTTTTAGTCCTGATTATCTGCTTCCCGAAAGTTTTTGGCGATCACCAACAGAAGGCCCAGATCAGAGGCAAATCGGAGCTTGATTGCTATTAGCAAAGACGCGACCATACACAGTCAGATATCTAGCAGGCTAAATATCTGGACCTGTCAGCAATTCCTGTGCTGAGAAATCCTGTGGTGTTGTGACTGGCAATGAGTGCAGCGACAAGCTACAGCTAAGGACAGCATAAGATATGGGGTGAGGTGAAACCCAAAGGAGGGGTTTCAAGAAAAAAAACGTGTAAATAGTCCAATTTGTTTAGAAACTGTTACTGTTCAGGGAAGAATTTATATTTCACACACTTGTGGTTAGTTGTGGCTTTAAACTGAGATGGTGCAAGAAAAACTTTGGCACAGGCGTACTGTTAACGGCTATACTCGTTGATGATAGCACTGTGCCAAACTCAGGCATGTCAGGCTGTGTGCACCTGGAGAGATACATTAGCAGTACCAAATGTGAACAACAATTTCTGTAACCTCTGTTTAAATGGATGTTAAGAAATCGATTATTTTGACGATATTAAAAATGCCTCCTTGAAGAATCGCAATTTGTAACAGAATTGATATTCCCCACACCCCTTTTGTTTACTATTCCCCTGCTAACCTGGGATACATTTCCCAAACTCAAAACAGAATGGTTTTAACTATATAAGCTGCTAACTGTAGCCTTTGGGAAATGTACCCCAGAATCACAGCCTACCGCCAATAAATAACCTTATATAGATGGCTGTCAGTATATATTTTTTTTTCCTCGCCAGGTGCACTTGTGGAAACCAGGCATGCATGCCCCTCGAGAGAGAGAGAAAATGTATTTTTCAGGTTGAGCAGATCCATTGGGCTTTGATGTGGGCTGCTGAATGTTATGTTTGGGGGCATGGTAAACTGTTACATAACAGTCTAGGCTTTTTGAATCAGCCATTTTACATATGTGGGGTTTATATTTGAGAGAGAGAACAACAGTGTTTGAGATTCATGGTATGTCAGCTCTATGTACCAAGCCCCTCTTTATTGAACCTTGCTGACATAAAGTCAGATTTTCATTTCATAGCATATTGAATTATCATCCAGACCTAAACAGGTGTGATCTTAATCTTCAGTCAAAACCAAGAAAGTTCAGATCAAGAATCAATGTAAACGGTCAAGCAACACGAGCTCACAACCTCCGACCTTATGATCACGCGGCCAGAACCTTAAACAACATGCCGCCTTCAACTCTTCACAATAACAGCACTACTATACAACTACTAAATTTATTAAATGTAAAGCATCATGAAGTCATAAATCTAGCAGGGACATTGCAAAGTTCAGGAATGGTGAATGACAGGTCCTCTTACCAGTCAAGGCCCAAAAGTTGTAGGACCTTAGATGCTGATGGAAGGTGTCTTTGGTCTCCTTTGGTATTTGTGGCCCCATTATGTTGGAAGATGAGCCAATTAATACATTATACCTGGAAATATTATACAAAGTGGCACATCAAGAACTTTATTTCAGGGTGTTTTTCTAATGTATCACCATTGTTATGCAGCATATATCCACGTATTTGAGAATATATATATAACCAGTGAGGTGTGGGTGTGTGTGGGTGTGTGTGG